AACAAACAGCTAAGGAGAACCCAGAGGAGCCATCAAATGGGTGAAGAGTTGTCTTGTGGGCAGAAGGTTTGAACTCTTTCTGTTGTTACCAAGAGCCGAAAGGAGAATCAAACATCCTGAATCACAGAGAGCCAGATTTCAGTTTCAAGCAAGAAGTATCTTTGGCCTCCAGAAACTACCCCAAATGATTTTCCAAAATTTCCGAAAGGGAAAAAAGTCATCTTGAAGGCATCTGAGTAGGCTGGACAACACTTTTGCAAGAATATCGGTGAGACAACTCAGGCATCATCTAGGCAGTAAAACTAGGAGATACTGGATTCTGAGTCATGGTTAGAGCTCTGGGTGGAAGAAGAAAAATCTCCACCTCAACACACGCAGTGACTTGAATCCCAGACGGAAAGTCTTGTTTTTCTAAGAGACCTAAAGGTATAGTTTGACCATGAGTCACTGTAGGCTTTCCCCAACTTCAGACTTCATTCTTATACTACTATCACAAATTTTGCAATACCCATTTAAGACCAGTACTGCTAATTCACTTAATATTTTGATTTACCTTGATTCCTTTTTCTTCTTAGATGTGTTTTTCAAAGTTACCCTATATGCTTGCTATGAAAGTCTGGACCGTCTATCTCAGCATCAGCGGAGACATTTAGATATTCAAAATCTCAAACTCTACTCCAGATCTGCTGAATCAGAATATCTATTTCAACAAGATTCCCAGTTGGATTCCTATGCCCACCAAAGTTTGAGAAACACTGCTTTATATCACTACTATAAACAGATATTTCACCGTCTCTAAGTGGTTAGCACATAATTATTCTATTTTATTCTAACTTTCTTCACATTTTGACAAAATATTATCTCTAAACTTGGGATGCATCTTATAATCAATGAAGGGAGTATTGTAATTAGCAGGGTGTTTTCCTTTATTAGTGGGACACAAAATAGTTTATCTTACAATTGATGGCATCTTACATTTTGCTAAAATAAGGCAATAGACTTTAATATAACTATTAAAATTAAGAAATAGTTGCCTAAAATCATTTTGTATTTGACAATTGGGACCATGCCACGGTTTTGGAAAAAGTGGCTTTATGAAAGCAAATTAATGCTCCCGAACATCACTGTGTTTGAGGCCCTTGAGAACAATTCAGTTTCCTCAGTCCCAACCACAGAGATTCTGTTGCAGACGATTTTGATGTGGGTCAACTTTCAACACTTTGGGGAGCAGGCTGAACACCAAGTCAAGCTAAACGACATCAGATCGTACACTTGCAGCCTGACGAGATTCCCTCACACTATAGTGCCACCATTCTCAAACTGTGGCCCATGGATCCTTGGAGATTCTTAAGAACTTTTCAAGAGGTACATGAGGTCAAAACAATTTTCATAATGATACCCAGATGCCATGTGCTTTCTTCACTGTGTTGACTTAATGATGCAAAAGCAAGGATGGATAGAAGTTCTGTAATAAAGTTCACTTTATTACAAATCAAGACATGGCACCAAACTGGACTAGTAGTCATAGTATTCTTCACAGCCATACACTGACAGTGAAAAAAAAATTTTTTTTTAATTTAAAAAGCCAGCTTCGGGACTTCCCTGGTGGCACAGTGGCTAAGAATCCACCTGCCAATGCAAGGGACACGGGTTCGAGACCTGGTCCGGGAAGATCCCACATGCTGCGGAGCAACTAAGCCCGTGTGCCACAACTACTGAGCCTGCACTCTAGAGCCCGTGAGACACAACCACTGAGCCCACGTGCCGCAACTACTGAAGCCCGCACGCCTAGAGCCCATGCTCCACGACAAGAGAAGCCACCGCAATTAGAAGCCCGCGCACCGCAATGAAGAGTAGCGCTCGCCGCAACTATAGAAAGCCCGCACACAGCAACGAAGACCCAATGCAGCCAAAAATAAATATAAATGAATAAATAATTTTTTTAAAAAGCCAGCTTCACTGAAAAATGACCTAAAATTTGCAGCAGTGGAAAGTATTAATTTTATTACATCTCAATTTTATCCACATCTTTATAATATCCTACACGATCAAACAGGAAGTCCATGAAAAAGCACTCCTTCTGCACACTGGACTTTGACATTTGTCTCAAGGAAAAACACGTGTGCAGCTGTCTGAGTTGCAAGATGAACCAGCCACTTGATTCATGAAGCACCATTTTTACTTGGAAGAACGACGAGCAGACAAACTATTGTTTCTCAGACTTGGATATCTGCCAGACAGTTTCTCAAAAAGCAGTGAAGTGTGTTTCTCCTTTCAAGGAAAACTACTGACAGTATCTTTTGCTAATGATATAGTTGAGTTTTCAAGCAAAAATTAAAATTTTGGAAGACTTGTATCTACTATCATTAGCTTGACAACGTCCTAATATTTGAATTTTCTAATGAGATCAGTACTGATATTAATGACTGTGATTTTTTTATACTGTATAGTGAAACGTGCCAATATTTGGAAGTTCCGTATAATTCAGTGAACAATATTTTCCAAATGATCAATGTATGATGTCTACACATGGGTAAAAGTTTCATTCAAAGTTCAACACAGACCAACAGATCATAATGTTTGCTGATATGGTTTCAGATTCCACATTGCAACTAGCCTTTAAGGAACTACCACAGAAACTACCACATGTCAAGATTTGGTATAGTATCTAAAAAGAATATCTGCAATTATTTGAAAGGGCAATTAAAATACTCTTTCCTTTTCTAAATTATATATCTGTGAAAGATTTTCTATATCTACTTTAACCAAAAAACAAAAAAAACCAAAAAAACCATATAGCAACAGACCGAATACAGAAGCAGGCATGAAAATCCATCCAGCTTCTACTCAGCAGACATTAAAGTAAGTTGCAAAAACAAAAAACAATGGTACTCTTGCCACTAATTTTTTTGTTTTGGAAAATATAGTCATTTTCATAAAAATATGTCATTAATGTTAACATGTAATGAAGTTGATAGGAATTTTAAATGAATTAGATTTTCTCAATTTTGACTTCTAATATCATAAATATTGGTAGATATGACCTGCATAAACCAAACTCACTGGGTTCTCAATGATTTTTAAGAGTGTGAAGGGGCTCTGAGAGAACAAAGTTTGAGAACTGCTACTGTCGTAAAACTCACTTAAGCTACAAAAGAAGGGACTATCTTCACAGATGAGGAAACAATATGGATGAATTCTTCCTCTCCACCAGGAAGTAACAGAAAATTTAAACCACATGAAGCCTGCAAGCCAGAGGTCCTCTTTGTGGTGCTATATTGAGCTCCAATCTCTTAACTATGAAAACTCAACCACGAGCACACAGATGGTTCAGCAGAGCTGCTGGACAAAGTAACAGCGAAACGCAACTTATCCTGAATAAGATCCAGAGGGAAGCAGTTGCTCCTCTTTCTGTAGGACTAGATCCCCCCAGAATCTCAAGGAGGGATATTGAAACAACAGTCAGTTACCAATGAAGAGTAATTTCATAAAGTGTAAGATTGGGGGCGGGGGAAGTTCCAAGAGACAACTATAAAATGTTCAATTTTCCCACTTTTAATAGGAAACATAAAAGGCCTCATTCAAAACATATGAACTATTTCTTAAGAGAGATATGGGGATACATGTGTGTAATTGAACTCCATTTTATGGTCACTTACAGAAGAATGTATGGAAAGGAAAAGCAGAGAAAGAAAGGGAGAAGGGGGAGAGTTGTGGGGAAAAGAAGTAGAGGGTCAGGAAGCATGTGGGAAGAGGCCCAGAGGGAACAGGAAAAGCAAAGGCAGATGAGGAAAAGGAACCAGAAAAGTCACACAACCTGCAGGGGCCTTAGAAATGAGCTAGGCTTGCTTCTTCATTTTAAGTGAAATTAGTGGCCCAAAGAAGTTAAGTGGTTTGACCAAGTTCAGTGCCGGGACTTTAAGCCAAAATTTCTAGCTTCTAAGCAAGGAAAACACATAAAGAGAAGGTCTGTGAAAGGGGATGGTTTGGAAAGAAGTGACGGGAGGGATGAGAGGGAGGGTGGACAGAGAGAGAGAGGCAGAAAGATACATAAACACACCATACACGCACATGCACACACACACATGCTAAGTAATGAGTTCTAAAGCAGGTATTTAATTAAACACTGTTTGTCACACCCCGACACTGCTACACATAACTAAAGTTTGGAGACCCCTGCCTTAAGCCCAGGACTTCTCAACTCTCCGATGCCTAGAAATCACCTGGAGATCTTGTTGAAGTGCAGATTCTGGTTTTGTAATGCGGGGTGGTTCTGAGATTCTGAACGTCTAACAACTCCTCGGTGATGCTGATGTTCAAGGATCACAAGGACCACACACAAGTTCCATTGCCCAGGAACTTGCTAGAAATGCATATTCTCAGGCAACATCCCATACCTACTGAATCAGAAGCTCTGGGGGTGAGGCCCAGAAATCTGTGTTTAAACAAGCCCTCCAGGTAATTCTGGTGCATATTAAAGTTTGGAACCATTGCACTAGGCCATAATGTCTCCTATCACCTTGTTGCCTGTAATTGGCTAAACAAGTGCGGCAGTACTCTATGTTCAAGTCATTACTTTTCACTGGGCTATCTGAACTTTCTGCTAGGAATTATCAACATTCCAATAATTCTTTTCAGACACCCTTAAGATTTGGGAATGACACCGAGATCATGAGGCTCAAATGTGATGTGTGATAAGGAAGTATTTTCTGAGGCCTCCTTTATTAGGCTCAGCTTGGCTTCCTCTAATTGGTTTAGACTTCCACACCTGGAGCTGGACTAAGAGATGTCCCCTCAAACTTTTTTCTTGGAGTAGAATATCCCCTTTAGCTCACCCCCACTTGCCCACTCTAGGCCCCTATACCAGGTCCTGGATTCCTCAGAACGTAGGTTAATCCCAGGAACTTTTGAATCCGGCCCCCTGTCTGAATGGAAATAATAGGATGGAGCTCCCCAAAGCTCCAGACTCAGCAGCCCTGGTCTTCCCAGCCCCTGCAGTCATGAGCTCTGCTGCGGAGATGGCCATTTTTGGAGAAGCAGCTCCCTACCCGCGGAAATCAGAGAAGGAGAGAATCGAGGCTCAAACTCGCCCATTTGATTCTAAGAAAGCTTGCTTTGCAGTGGATGATAAGGAATTTTATGTGAAAGGTATGATCCAGAGCAAGGAAAATGACAAAGTCACAGTCAAGACCCTCGACGACCGGGTAAGTGTTGATCTCAGATGTCCTTGCTAACACGGGCATCCTCCTTTTCCTTTGGAGTAGAATAGTAGAAATTGCATGCTGGTCCACAGGAATCTGAAGATAGAACAAGCCTCACATTGATCTCCTCTGAGTGAAGTCGCAGGTAAAAACTGCCATGGCACGTACCTCTGCTCTGGCTCTTTCCTTCGAGGACTTGGGCTTTGAGAGTTTTTATGATGTTTGCTTTGGAGAAAGGGGAAGGCGGTGGTGGAAGCGTTTGGACTGCTTAAGGGAGAGACTGACACAGATCGCTGCTGGATGGGCGAATATACCGAATAGAACTCTCTAGGCTGCAGAGTGACTTACAGAGGGAGCTCCTGAGGCAATGCCTAATTTAATGCAGAGAATTACAGAGCACCATTCAATTCAACACTTACTGGACACCCATCATGTCTAGGTCACCGTGTCTATCACTTTGCAAATGTGAGCAAATCTCAGTCCTGCTTCCCCAAAGTTTATCATCTAGTGTAGGAATCAAGAGTACACGGTGGGTATGGGGACTTCCCTGGTGGCACAGAGGTTAAGAATCTGCCTGCCGATGCAGGGGACATGGGGTCAATCCCTGGGCCCAGAAGATCCCACATGCCGCGGAGCGACTAAGCCCGTGCGCCACAACTACTGAGCCTGCGCTCTAGAGCCTGTGCTCTGCAACAAGAGAAGCCATGACAATGAGAAGACCGCACACCGCAACGAAGAGTAGCCCCCGCTCACCACAACTAGAGAAAAGCCCGTGCGCAGCAAGGAAGACCCAACGCAGCCAAAAATAAATAAATAAAATAATTTTTTTAAAAAAGAGTACATGGTAGGTATGAATCCCAGTTCACAAATCCAAGCATACAAGACAGATTGATGACGATGATGGTTATTATTAAACTTAACCTCTGGTGTCAGCCTCTTTTCACAGGGCCGGAAATAAATTTTCTGGAGTTACTATTGGAGTCCCCTCCCCAGAGCCATGCCACGTTTTCAGTAATACCACATGGGGTGTCACTGCCCCCCTGAAGGATGTGCTAAGAAACAAGCCCCAGTTTCTGAATCTTCAGGACACACAGATTTTTCCATCTCCCTTATGCTATTTTGGGTGTCTCTCTCTCTCTAGTTTAGGGCAGTGGGGCAGAAGGGCTTCCTTTCCTCAAGAGATTTGGTCCATATCAACAAATCTCCTCCCTTTTATCTTTTCGGTAAAACCCTCAAAGCTCTTCTAAGGATTTGGGCTTTTGGAAAACAAACGCTAGAAAGGCTTACAGGCTCTCTTTTATGCCTTATTTTCTACCTTTCCTGAGTAATGGAGTGCCAGTTGTATGCTTAAAGGGAAGGGAAAGCAGAGAGGGGAAAATTAGGTAGTAGTCTCAAAATACTGTTCAGCCATGGACCATGCTTCAAGTCCAAATGCTTTAACTATTAGAGCAGCGGTGCAAGGATTTCTGGAAGCCTTGAAAAGACAGGGGAGAGCAGAAACAGGTCATGGAAGAGGTGGCACTTAAGAAGAGCTTTGAAGGTTGCTAGATGTAATTTCAATGTAGATATATTCCAGACAAAGGGACCCACATGAGCAGAGGTATTGAGGTGGAGATGCACAGAATACACACTAGAAGAGTTTTTTCCAATATTCCAAGCTTGATCTCATTACAGCACTCATAGCAAATGGGGTAAACAGAGGCAAGCTGCTGTGGCCTTGGCCATCCTGAGTTCCACCTGGCCACCCTGAGGCTGAAGGGCTCTCTAACTTTGCACACCTGTAACCCACTTCTGGCACACAGAATGGCATGCTGACTTGGGGGCATCAGACCAGAATTGGTTATACACTTTGACCAGACTTAGATTTATCAGGAACAGTTATTTACGGATCATCTCTGGGCACAGAAATGATCCATAAAGTTAACCACAGTAATGGGGTAATCTCAGCACAATATCTCACCATTTTCACCACACTGGTAGCTCAGCACATCGGCTCTCCCACTCATCACGTGATTTTCCTCTCAATATCTCAATAACTCACTCTGAACAGTGAACAGGTGTTCCCCATGAACCCCCCCAAATTTGACAAGATCGAGGATATGGCCATGATGACCCACCTGCACGAGCCAGCAGTGCCAACCTCAAAGAGCGTCACGCAGCCTGGATGATCTACGTGAGTGCCCTTCAACCTCTCTTTATTCCTTTCCCTTCTCTGAGTAAAATCAAGATCCATAGGTTGAATTTTCTGATTTTCTCAGACCTACTCGGGCCTCTTCTGTGTCACCGTCAACCCCCCAAGCGGCTGCCGGTGTACAACCCCGAGGTGGTGACGGCCTACAGAGGCAAAAAGCGCCAGGAGGCCCTGCCCCACATCTTCTCCATCTCTGACAACGCCTTTCAGTTCATGCTGACTGGTGAGTAATTTCTTTAATGCATATTAAAAAAAAATAGTTTTAGTGAAGTATTCAAGTCCTTTAACTGTACTGGTTCTTAATTATTCGAGCCCTTCACAGGCTTTGGTCATCCAAATGGTGCAATGACCAAAGTGACCTCAGGAGATTCAGAGGATGTCAGGATGGAAAGCCAGGGGCGCAGCATCTTCCATTACCGGTCACGGTTCTTGAAGCCACGCTAAGTACATGCTTCTCTGGGGGTGGACGTGGAGCACAAAGACATGCGCTGCCCCCACCTCCAAAGAGACCCCCCAACATGAACACACTTGGAAGAGAGACTATATTAGTAGCCACTTAGGAATGCAAAGTTGGAGAAACGGGCACAGCAACTTCCCTTCACTTGTTTTCTCAGGCTCCCTCTTTCTCCTCCTTAAATTCCCAGAATAGCAGATGAAATAGCAGAGATGTGGTAATACCGTCACCCTGTCATGCCTAACATCACTTCAGTCTGTTCAACTTTCACCTGATTTGACTTGGTGCAGAGAGAAGAAGTAGAAGCAAGCATCTGAGATCTGAAGATGCTTAAAAGTCATCCAGGACAATGTTGCCCAAACCATGCCAATTTCACATTCGCGATCCTGGTCATTTCTGCATATTTAAAATCTTTCCTTATAGTGACTGAAGTTCCGTCCATTTCAAAAAGGAAGAATAGGGACTTCCCTGGCGGTCCAATGGTTAAGACTCTGTGCTTCCACTGCAGGGGACACGGATTCGATAGCTGGTCAGGGAACTAAGATCCCACATGCCACGCGGCGTGGCCAAAAATAAAAATAAAATAGGAACCGAACAAATCTGCCCTTTGATCTGGAGGAAAACTATTTTTTTAAAAAAAGGAAGAATAATATCACTATTAGTATTAGTTTCTTAGGACTGTCGTCACCAAGTACTACACACTGGGTGGCCTAAGCAACAGAAATGCATTGTGACACAGCTCTGGAGCCTGGGAGTCTGAGATCAAGGTGTCAGCAGGGTTGGTTCCTTCTGAGGGCCGAGAGGGAGAATGTGTTCCAGGCCACGCTCCCAGCTTCCAACGGTTTGCTGGCCAGCTTTGGCATCCCTTGGCTTCTAGAATCATCACCTTGATCTGCACTTTCTCATCTGTCTCCAAATTTGTCTTTTTATAAGGACCCCAGTCATATTGGATCAGGGGCCCACCTACTCCAGTATGACCTCATCTTAACTAATTACATCTGCAATGACCCTATTTCCAAATAAGGTCTGGGGATTAGTTAGGGCCTCAACATATTAATTTGTTGCGGGGAACACAATTCAACCTATAACACTCTTGTCAATGGAAAACCACGGTCACTATCCACAAGTAGAAAGTAAAGGTGAAAGAAAAATGCAATGACAACAAACCAGTGTCCAGAAATTCTAATTAGTAGCTGTGGCTTCTTACAAGTTCTAAGTCAGAGACTTGCTTTCTTTGTTGAAAAGGGAGATAAGAAAGTGCTAGAGAGGAGGTAAAGATCTGTGAACATGAATAACTTTCACACTGTGGGACTCACCGTTCACTTCCCATGCTGCCCACGTTACACCTCCAGCATTTGGGAAATCTGCCCAAATTGTCTCAGAGAAGACTAGACATGACCAAATCATCACACGACCAGTTAATGGCAAAGCCAGAACATGGGCTCTGTCTACCCCCAATGTTGCCCGATTTGTATATCCTGCCTATATGTTGTTTATTTACTCCATCCTGCTTCCTTCTGCATTTCTAGATCGAGACAATGAGTCCACCCTCATCACGTGAGTGACCTGTGTTTATGCCATGATGACTGGGAAGGGGCTGTCCATTCCTTCTGCTCTCCTTTACCTCACTTACTTTCTAAAAAAAAATTATTTTATTGAAGTATAGTTGGTTTACAATGCTGTATTAGTTTCTGTTGTACAGCAAAGTGATTCAGTTATACATATATATGAAAGAATTTTCATATTCTTTTCCATTATGTTTTATCACAAGGTATTGAATATAGTTCCCTGTGCAATGCAGTAGGACCTTGGTGGTTATGCATTCTATATATAATAGTTTGCATCTACTAATCCCAAACTCTCAATCCATTTGTCCTCCATTCCCCCTTTCCTTGGTCCCCTTGGCAATTACAAGTCTGTTTCCTATGTTTGTGTATCTCACTTTATTTTATTTTATTTTACTTTATTTTATTTTATTTATTTTTGGGTGCGTCGGGTCTTAGTTGCAGCACTCGGGATCTTTTGTTGGGGCACGTGGGCTCTTCATTGTGGCGCACAGGCTTCTCTCTCGTTGTGGCGTGCGGGTTTCCTCTTCTCTAGTTGTGGCACGCAGGCTCCAGAGTGCGTGGGCTCTGTAGTTCTGGCACGTGGGCTCTAATTGAGGCGCACAAGCTCAGTAGTTATGGCGTGCGGGCTTGGTTGCCCCACGGCATGTGGGATCTTAGTTCCCTGACCAGGGATCGAACCCGCGTCCCTTGCATTGCAAGGCGGATTCTTTACTGCTGGACCACCAGGGAAGTCCCTCTCACTTACTTTTAAATCAACAGCGGAGAATCCGGGGCTGGGAAGACAGTGAACACGAAGCGTGTCGTCCAGTACTCTGCAACAATTGCGGTCACTGGGGAGAAGAGGAAGGAGCAGCGGCCGGGCAAGATGCAGGTGAGCAGCTTCCTGCACCTGGAAGGCTTGCTGGACTAAGTATACCTTAACTCCCAGGTGAGCACCAAGTGTTTGCAGGGCTTTGTGCCCAGCAGAGATGCACAGCACGAGGTCCTGCCCCAGGGGGTGTTTACGGGGCAAGGCAGGAAATGGCTCCACCTTGTGGACTCAGGCTCTAGCACCAGCTCCATCAACAACAGCCGAGTGGCCTTGAGCAACTCCACATCCTCCTTTGGAGAAGGAATGGTTTAGGCCAGTGGTTCTCAAAGGGGAGAGCACATCAGAATCACCAGGAGGGCTCGTTAACAACCGATTGCTGGTCCCCAGGCCCAGAATTTCTGACTGAAATTCCTATCTCACATTCAAAATCCTGGCATGTTGCATTTCTGTCGTGTTCCCATTGTTCATGCTGCCGGTCCAGGGATCACACTTCGAGAACCACTGGGCTGGACAGTAGTTTCCAAACAGCTCTGACGTCAGAAAGGCAAGCACTCATGTGGGGAACAGGGGGGAAGGTGAAAACTCTGCTTTCTATAAGTGGATTTCTACGTAATAATTCTCACAAAATATTTTATGCAACTTAAAAATTTTTTGAGAACCACTGTTTCTATCATGTGGGTCACTTTCATTGCTCACAGTCTATTTCTACTTCTGAACCCGAATATCTATGTAAATGGGTCCTGGTGCATGCAGGAACAGAGGTCTATATTTTACAAATCCATGATTTATAATAAAATGTTATCAGAGTAAGAAAGGCTGTCTGGGAGATTGAGATGTAGCAGGTAGTGCTCCAACCTGGAATCTGGTGTGGCCAGAAGCCACTTTGATGCTGTGCTAAGACCCCTTCTACGATGGGACCTTGAAGCCTCCTTGGGTGGGGTGGGGATGGGCCTGTGGGTACTCAGCATAACTGTACCTGCCACCAGCCTGAGCCGGGCGACATCTCTCCCTGGGCCCTTCCCAGAGCATCCACACTTTTGAGTCACTGGGAAGTTAATTCAGAAGACGTCCAAAGTCCTCTCTTTTCCTCTTCTCACTTATTATTAGGGAACCCTGGAAGACCAGATCATCCAGGCCAACCCCCTCCTGGAGGCCTTTAGAAAGGCCAAGACCGTGAGGAATGACAACTCCTCGAGATTCGTAAGACTCGGTCCAATTGTCAATGACCCCCAGAAAGAAAACCCTCTCCTCCAATGCTGAATATGAAAAATGGCCACATAAACTAGGATATATCTGGCCTTAGCCTACCCCCAAGTAGACTATACTGGGATATTCTGATAACCCTTCAAAGAACATTTTGTCTTATTCCCAGCCGGAGGAAGATTTAGCTGTCCTTCCCTAACTAGTCAGCATTGCCTCAGAGCATCCTGAAGGTACAATGATTCCAGATTCAAATTCCACAAGTACAAAATGACTTCTCTGTGCTAAAATTGGTCTCTTCAGGTGGAAGCATTTTAAAATACGTAAGTCCGTTGAACAGTATCCACTGACTTATTAGCCATGAAAACCATAATGCGAAGTTAGTTAGCAGATCTGACCTTCTCCAGGTCAGGAGGTGCTGGGAGGAGGGAAAACCTGGTGGAGGCAGCAGAGCTCAAAAATTGGGAAGAAGTTGGGCTTCCCTGGTGGCGCTGTGGTCGAGAGTCCGCCTGCCGATGCAGGGGACGCGGGTTCGTGCCCCGGTCCGGGAAGATCCCACGTGCCACGGAGCGGCTGGGCCCGTGAGCCATGGCCGCTGAGCCTGCGCGTCCGGAGCCTGTGCTTCACAGCGGGAGGGGCCACAACAGTGAGAGGCCCACGTACCGCAAAAAAAAAAAAAAAAAAAATTGGGAAGAAGTTGATACTAAAGATATTGAAGGATACGTCCCATCCTTCAACGTTTCACTTAGGTTTAGCTCAACCAAAGAGGCATTTACTTCCGACACTGGCAAATAAACAAGTATCCAGCCTCCTATCTAATTTCACCGGCCAGTAGAGAAGGTACCCAGAGGCATTTCCATTCAGCAGCTAGAACTCCTGAAGAGCAAACACATAATTCACATAAACCTCCACTGGTCCTTCATTAATTCTTCTTAGGCTTCATTCAGAAAACACTGAGAATACTACTGAGTACGTACTACATTCTAGGGTCTGCGGGTGAACAAGCAAGGCGATATTTTTGCCCTCAAATTGGCTCACAGGGTGGTAGCGACCAGTTAAGCGGGTGATGTAAGAAGGGAGTATACACACACACATATATACTATATATAATTTCACCTCTCACTCCCCAAGATTGGGGGAACCCAAGGGCTGAGTGGGTCTTTTTGGAGCCAGGAGGCCTGGCCTGGGAGTTAGGTCTGCATGTAGTAAGTAGTAAGGAAAACTGAGGCAAGAAATCTCAGAAGTAACATTCAGAGGCAAAAAAAAAAAAGTCAGATAGTCCAACCAGGTTATCAGTTCAAAGGTGTTATAAAGAGTTTGAGCGGGATAAAGACCAAGGAGACAGTCAGGTGTGAGGTAGTCCCGAACAGAGACTTGAGAGGGAGCCTGCAGGCATCCCCAGAGCTGTAGGAACAGGGCCAGGTGCTTTGGGCAGAGCTACCCGAGTCTTAGCTGAGCCGGCATGGGGACCAGATGCCAAGCAAACAAAGAGGAGGAAAGTCCTCATGCTTCTGGCATCACCTCCTCCGCGACCCGACACATCCCACCCATCCTCAGGAGTACCTAACGGAAGCTGGCTACAGTACCATATAAAGAAGATAACTGTGTTTTTCAATCTGTCTTTGGACGGGGGAAGCTCATTCGCATTCACTTTGGGGCCACAGGAAAGCTGGCATCAGTGGCCATTGAAACCTGTGAGTCCAAACATTCTATCTGGTACCTTGGACTTGGCCACAGAGGCATCTCCTGGGGACCCTAAAATCACATAGTTTTTTGTTACCTCAGATCTCTTAGAAAAATCCAGGGTGACATTTCAGTTATCCCGTGAGAGAAGCTATCATATTTTTTTACCAAATCATGTCAAACAAGAAACCGGAACTTATCGGTAAGTTCCTTGGTTTTCATTCTCATCTTCCAAATCGATCACATTGGAAAAAAACTCAGAGTCAGTTGTGCATAAGAGGCTAAAGGGATCCTTCTGCTTCACAGACCTGCTTCTCATTTCAACCTACCCCTTTGACGTCCCCTTTGTGAGCCAAGGAGAGGTCACCGTGGCCACTATTGACGACAGTGAGGAACAGTTGGCCACTGATGTATTTTGTGTGTTTATTTACTTAAGTAAGGAATTGTTGAATTTATGAACCGAGAGGTACCCATGATCTCAGGAGGCAGCTGGGATGCAGGGATGCTCAGCGATTAGACCCAAGAGCTCAGAGAATTAGTACAGATCACACCCCTCCCCCACTTGGTTCCATTTCAGAAGATTCCAGAAATGGGAATACAGGAAGCTCTCCAAAATAGGCCTTCAGTTCCACTCGCCAGCTTTTTAGAGTAAATGTTTGCACGGATAAGGTCTTTAAAGGTCTTGTTGGAAGGTTTCAGGGTACAAAACCATCTACATGGTTCTTTAAGAAAATCTAGAAAATACAGGAAAGTCTAGCGCAGGAGAAAAAGAGTCCCGCTCTTCAGCAGCCGTTCCGCTCCTCCGGCTACCTGCCACCTCGGGCTCACACACCTGTCAGGCCTCTGGCCTTTAGCTTTGGGGAGTATCTCCAGGATCGATAACTATATTAACTAAGTGCACTGAGCACTTACGCGTGCCAGGAACTGAGAAAGGAGCTTTGCCTCAACAAGATCTCTGGCATCAGCACCACTGTTACCCCCATTTCATAAAGGTAGAAGCTGAGTTTTAGGAAAAAAACACACAATTTGCTCGAAGACAGTTTGTAAACGACAGTCGGAACCCAGATCTGCCCAACCCCAGAACTTGCATTTTTAACTAAAATACACCATATCTCAGTGCAATTAATCTCTACCCCTGCTGGCTCTGCCCTCACGGAAGCTCTAAAAGCTTTTGGAAAGCACTCTCGCCCAACACCCCAGGGGCTCCTGCCCAGGGCCCAGCTCCCTGGCCTTCATTCTGTGACATTTCCAGGTGATGCTAATTGTTTTAAGTCAAGGAGAAAATGTTCATGGTCAAACAAACTTCATTTTACACTAGTCTGGCTATTATATATTCTTAACCAGCTTTCCCCAGTCTTTACCAGCTGGGGAGGAGGGTTAGTGACTGATACAAGGCCTCCAGCCACCCTCCCCCACCCCCCGAAAGGCCCTCCTAAGGAATTCTCAAAGTCCCCAAAGTATCTCAGGTCCTCACCAGAGATCCCTGCCATCAGGGCTTCTGTTGCTCCTTCCTCCCACGGAGCTTCTCCAGGGTGATGGTTTATGGCCAGATGGAGGGGGATTGTTGCCTCCGAGTGACTGCGTTCTCCAGAAGGCTCCCACGCAGTCGCGCTCTCACCTGCTTCCTTTCAGCACTTAGCGAAAGAAAGTTCTTTCTCTAGTTTCCCCGCAGCCGCCCATTCCTAGGACACAGATAGGCATCAGCTGGGATGGGATACGATTCAGGGCCTCAGAAACTCTCCTCCCCTCTGTCAGCTCCTGGCGTGGACTCTCCCTCCCCCACAAGGGGGCGCCACCCCAAGAGTGCCTCGCGCTTCAATACCATGGTCTGTCCCCGCCAGCTTACCTGACACATCCAGACATGTTTCAACTCCAGCCCTGGGCATTGCTTAGGCTTGGGCTGCAAACCCTGCTACACAATCATATGTATACCCCGGAGAAGGATTTTCCAGTTTAAAACCATTGTGGCAGAACAAGAGGTTATAAAATCAGATCAGTATCTGCTGTAGGCTTTGAAGTGACCCAGCGCTGCTCCGGCCCCTTTTCATCACATCCTCCCTGCAGGCAGGTCCCTCAGAACCTCAGTTCTTCACCCAGAAATCTGGAAAAAATCTGCACACCTATAAGGTTCTCATAGGGACTTAATGAGATAACATAGGGATGGTGCTGTCGACTTAAAAAATATTCACAACCTAAAAGTTGAGAGTTATGTTTTATTTGGTGGGAATTTTTAGGACTTCCAAGCTCAGGAGGCAGCATCTCAAGTAACCCTGAGAGAAGTGCCCCGAGGAGGTGAGCGGGGAGCCAGGTTATACAGAAGTTTTGCCACAAAGGGCAGGTAGTCTGAACATCAAAAGGTTACTGTTAGTTAAAGAAAACCAGCAATCCCAAGTTAAGGAATTTAGCACTTTTCTATGTGTGGGAAGATGCAAGAGGCTGAGCTCACCGAAATCATTCCTTTGATATGCACCTCAGCCATCTGGGGCCAGTATCCCGTGTTTTCACATCCTGAGTTTCCTCAGGGCTCACCCGGAGAGTGGCTGCCGTCTGATGGCTGCTAGATGGCACGTATTCGCTCCTTCTTGAGTTTCCTCAGGGCTCACCTGGGGAGCGGCTGCCGTCTGATGGCTGCTAGATGGCACAATCGTTGGAGGGCTGCAATCGCTGATGACTGTGACATCCTTTGTTTACTGATATGGCAGGAAATATTCCATTTCTCAGGGCCTAGCCCCCTACCTAGCTCCTTTCTCATTTGAAAAATATCTTCCCTTCCAGTTCTAATAGTCTACGGCGCTATATTATCTCCATGCTGAACTACACTGTAATTCCTGGGTTGCAATGCAAAGTTCGCAAGCTCTGGTATGGGGTCCGTGAAAGTACATCCTCCCAGCATCACACAATGTTTCCCAGTGTTCTCATCCAGGAAACAGTGCCCACATCTATGCACAGTGGGAAAGGATTAAAATCAGATTATTCACATTTTCTTCCCATAATCTTCACCCACCCACACAAACATGTTCAATTAAGACACGGTTTTTAAGCCCTAACTTGTCATACCCCACCTGTCATCCACTTACTGGGGTAAATGCTGTCTCACGTGCTATACAAAATGCCGGGGAAAAGCAGCATTTGGGTCCCTGAGGCCTGCTGTGACGGCTGTCCTTTTTTTCTAACTCCCAGAATGACACTGACATCCTGGGCCTCAGCTCAGAGGAGGAAGTTGGGATCTACAAGCTCACAGGCGCCGTGATGCACTACGGGAACATGAAATTCAGGCAGAAACAGAGGGAAGCGCAGGCAGAGCCAGGCGGCACCGAAGGTACCACATCTGGGAAGGGGACAGAGGTTTGCCTCTCCCCCTGCGTTAACGTGTGGACTGGGCCACAGGAGATAAACCTTGTGTTCATCTCAAGAGCTGCTCTTGGAAAACCATACAAACTGAATTTGGGTTGTCCAAAGCTTTTTGAACATGCGCTGGGGAAGTCCATTCACTTGGTCAAGGGATCATTTAGTGGAGATTCCTTAGAAAACAAGAGCATCATCTCATAAGTGAATAATCTCTGTCCAGTATCTCTCACCGTCAGTTCACCTGTTATTTTAGGGTGGACATTTATGATGGTTGAGTGAATTTCACTTTCTTTCTCTGCTTACATATCATTATTAACATCCAGAATATTGTCCTACTCACTGAGCCTAAAATAAGAACCTTGGTTAGGCAGCTATTAATTCAGGTTAATAAATTAATTAACCTAAATTAATGAATTAATTAGCTGCCAATTTAGGTGGCAGATAAATTTCTCCCTCCTATCACTTTCTCTTCCGCCTCCTACATCTGTTGAACTGACCCTGAACCAAGGACTGGTGAACAAATCTTCCTTCCCATGACTCTCACCTGGATGATCTCACCACCTGCCTCTGCCTCATCCCAAAGAGGCCTGGAAACAGAGTAGAGGGCAGTGTAGGGGCTGACCGACGGCCAGACCCCATCGCCATATACCCTGCATGCCTCATGCCTCTAGTACTTCATCTTACAAGCTCCCAGAGTCAAAGGCTGGTTCATCCCTAATAATTCTACCTTTTGATAACATCCCCACACTGCATGAAGCAGCGCGTCTGGCACCCCAGATGATAAAAAGGAACAATAGCCATGAATTAAAGGCCAGGAGAATATACATGACTTTATCACTGTCCATAAAGGCTCTCCTGATCAGCTTAGGTTTGTCCAGGATGGTCTCCCTTGTTATTAACTCAAAGACAACTGGTTAATAACCTCATCATGGGAGTGATATCTCATTACATTCACAGGTTCCACCCACACTCAAGTGAAGGGGATTATACAGGAAGTGTACACCCACGGGTGCATTGTCCTCCCAGTGGTGCATGCGAAGTAACAGGAGAAAAATTCAAAGTGTTCAGAGCAGGGAGCCCTTCTGATTGAGGTAATCAGGGAAGGCTTCCTGGGGGAGGTGGGGACATTGACTTGGACTTTGAAAGATGGGTAGGATCCTAAAAGGTGGGGGGGCAGGCAGTCTAAGCAGAAGAAATGATGAGCAAGGGGGCTAAGGAAGGGATGTGATGGGGACAGAGAAGCAGAGAGTGGTCCACTTTGGCTATAGAAGACGATATATGTAGTGGATTTGTAAGAGATGGGAATTAAAAAGCGATTATTTTGGCGTCAGTCTGGAAAGGCCTTGAGTGCCAGGATAAATGGTTTAGAATGTATGTGATAGACACCAGAAGCCGCTGACGCTCCAAGCAGCAGCAGAGTATGTGTGACAGCCTGGAATTAATCCATCTGTAGTCATGCTCACCCAGAGTGTGGAATGTAGGGAAAAAATGCATCAGGCTCCTCGGCACAGGCGGACCATATGCACATGCATCACGGCAAGGTCCCACACCCTCTTCCAGCCCTGGCAGCCACGTGTTCAGTGTTTAGAAGCAGAAAGAGCCTGGCAAAGGGGAAAACGGTGGCTGTAACCGGGGCCTGAGCTCCTCTGATGATGCTACCAACCCAAGTCAGTGTTTCCTGAGTGCTTACTGTATACCAGGACTGCTTCACAGCCACCCAGTAACATAAGTACTGTCACTGTCCCCCAGTTGACAAATGGCAAGACTGAGGCATAAAGGAGCAAAGCCTAAATTTGAACCCAGGCTCTTTGCCACTTTACTATTCTACAGTCTTAGAAACCATAGAGATGCAAGCTATTTTTAAGGTGAAATGAGCAGGACTTAGATGCCTCTCTCAACTCTGCATGGCAGGGGCGAAAAAGAAGGATGTGCCACCCCAAGCTTTCAAGTTTAAGTAACCAGAAGAATAATGGTAAATGGGCAAAGTAGGAAGAACGGATGGTTTGAGCAAAGAGTAAAACACACAACTGGTCTCTTTCTAAGTCCTTAACAAACACTGCCCTGGATTTTTATTAACTTGGCTCCCGAGCCAGCAATGAGGTGACGGTCCCAACCAAGGAGGAGCTGTCCTTGGGAAGCAGCATTTCTTTACCTTTTCTATGAGCTCAATGCAGGCAGCCCGGTCCATCCCAAAGTCAACTGAACTCCTAGTGAACTATATGAAATTTCCCATATTCAACTGAGCTTGACCATCTCCAAACACTTGCAGCTGGGGTGAAGGTTTCGTACTTCTCTCTCAGCTATTAGCAGGGCACTTTGCAGAAATTAGGAAGGTGCTGAACTTATATTAACTGTCCAAACAGTACTTCCTTTACTCATATACCATGTTGCTGTATTATCAGACTCCAACAATACTACATAACAATATGTTTTTTAATGAAATTTAAATATCAGTAAGTCAAGATCAACCTATTTCTAAAGATTGTATCTAGAAGGCAAAGTGAAAGTTCTCGAAAACCCAGGACCCTGGCTTATGGGGTTGAAACTCCATTAGTCAAGTCCAGGCCTGGGGCGTGTAGGAAAACATAAAAACATCCAAAAGGATTATAGAAAATACTTCTAGGAGGACCCAGGACCTAACTGGCTGTTTTAGCAGTTTCTCCTCCTCCTTCAATGGCTGACAAAGCTGGGTACCTGATGGGTCTGAATTCTGCAGAAATGCTGAAAGGCCTGTGCTGTCCAAGGGTGAAGGTTGGGAACGAATATGTCACTAAAGGGCAAAATGTCCAGCAGGTAATGGAGATGCTCTGAATCCGAATGACTCACGTATTTTGCTATTTTAACGACCATCCTAAAGTTCTTTCGGTCGCGGGAATCAGAAACACATATGAAACTGGCCTCACCATGAAGGGAGAATTCATTCTTAGGCCTCAGGGGTAACTCAAAGAGTGCCTTGGGTGCCATGAGGGTCTGGAGCCAGGAAGTGAAGAGCCCTCCAGAGCCAGGCAGCCTCTCTGGCAAGACAGCTCCAGGCTGTCTTCTCTCTCCTGCTCTGTTGTGTTCTCACTAAGTGGATAAGCTTTCTCCACCTCTCCTGCCCGTGGCCACCCCAGAACTCCCAAGTTTACATCTCCGTGGTTCCAGCCTCACCCTGAGACTGGGACCAGCATCTTTTGATCCCAATTCCAAATTCTCAGGAGAGACACTCTGTTTAGCCCAACTTGGACCAAATGTCCACCTCTGGTTCAATTAGGTGTGGCCGGGGCTAGAGTCACGTGTTATAACCAAGGTTGGTAGAAAACGATCTTTGTAAATGGGATAGACCTCATGGAACGGAGCAGATGTCTCAAGATAGATGTAATATTAGACTGAAATATATGAAATTGCCAACCTCCAGCTGCTTTTGACTTTCAAGACGTGAACTTTGTATGTTTCAACTTAATACAATCATAAAAACATTAATTTGAGGGTTGAGTGGATGTTCTTTTTTCCAAGGTGACCAATTCGGTGGGCACTCTGGCCAAAGCCGTCTACGAGAAGATGTTCCTGTGGATGGTCACCCGCATCAACCAGCAGCTGGACACCAAGCAGCCCAGGCAGTACTTCACTGGGGTCTTGGACATCGCTGGCTTTGACATCTTTGATGTGAGTTGTTTGCATCAACGACAAGCCTCAAAGCACCCTTCCGCTTTGTGTCTGTTTTGAGTCTCCACTGGATTTTCCAAACTCACTCAAACTCTTTGGTATTCGAAGTACCCAGTTCAACAGCCTGGAGCAGCTGTGCATCAACGTCACCAACGAGAAGCTGCAGCAGTTCTTCAACCACCACATGTTCGTGCTGGAGCAGGAGGAGTACAAGAAGGAGGGCATCGAGTGGGAGTTCATCGACTTCGGGATGGACCTGGCCGCCTGCATGGAGCTCCTCGAGAAGGTAAAGAAACGCTGCTCTCCAGGGACAGCTCCGCCTTGGTTGGACGACCACCTCTTTGCTCTAACTCTTTTCTGCTAATGGATTGGCTCCCCTAAACCCACTCCCCAGGCTCTGAGCCTTCAGATAGCTGAATTCCCTGTGCAGAAAGGGTAAATGTTTGGAAAGCACACAGAATCTGTTCAGACACTTAAAGAGGTGTGTGGGTGATTAAGATCCCAGGGCTCAGTTACCCCTGAGAATGTGCATGGAGCCCAGGGGTGACTGGGCATTTCATACATACCTGACTTGTCCAAAGACCCCAGGAGGAGGACCAGGGAGCAGTGAGCTTCCTGGAAGAATGTTACTATGAAAAAAGCAAGGGCTTCCCTGGTGGCGCAGTGGTTAAGAATCCACTTGCCAATGCAGGGGACACGGGTTCGAGCCCTGGTCCTGGAAGATCCCACATGCGGCGGAGCAACTAAGCCCGTGCGCCACTACTGAGCCTGCGCTCTAGAGCCCGCGAGCCACAACTACTGAGCCTGCGTGCTGCAACTACTGAAGCCCCGTGCCTAGAGCCCGTGCTGCACAACAAGAGAAGCCCACGCACGGCCACAAAGAATAGCCCCCGCTCGCCGCAACTAGAGAAAGCCCATGTGCAGCAATGAAGACCCAACGCAGCCAAAAAAAAAAAGCAGATGACATACATTTTTAAAAAGGAATTCCCATCACATTTTGTGCACTGGTCATGTTGGAAGCCTATCTTCCTAAGGTGGCTACTGAGAAACCCAGATTTTATTGCTTAAACTATTACTCATGTGATTTTATGTCTATGTATCCAACGTTACATTTTTGGTAAATCTATTGCTAAAAGTGAGTAAATTGGGGAAAACTCAGCTTTTTTCCTTCCTATGTAGGGAAAAACCCAGTTCTTTCCTACTGCGTGTTTCTTTCCTGTGAATTTCCTTTACCACTCACATAGAACACTTTGTTTTTGGTACTTCTGGTCACCAAATGTGTGGAGGTTTTTCCTCACAACGACAAGCAATTCTCTGCAACACCAGCTGGGTGTCCTACAATTTAAGTCAATTCGGACACTATCTACCCAGAGATGCCAAGTGCAAGCAGTAGGTCCCTGGTGCCCTACAACCTCTGACCTACTGGGCTACAAATCGAAGGTTCCCACAACCCCGTCCTCAGGTTTAATTAATTTGCTAAAGGGGCTCACAGAATTCAGGAAAACACTCATGTTTACCAGTTTATTAAAGGATATGATAAAGGATACAGATGAACAGCCAGATGAAGAGATACGGGGGGCAAGGGAGGGTCCCAAGTGCAGGAGCTTCCATTCCCATCGGGCTGGCGTGTGTCACCCTATCAGTATGTGGATGTGTTCTCCAACCCGGAAGCTCTCAGAACCACCTACAATTGGGATTTTATGGAGGCTTCCTCATGTAGGCACGATCAATCATTAACTCCATTTCCAGCCCCTCTCCCCTCTCTGGAGGATGCGGGGAGAGGACTGAAAATCCCAAGCTTCTAATCGTGGCTTGGTCTTTCTGGTGACCAGCCCCCATCCAGGAGCGCACCCAGAGTCACCTCAACAGAACAACAGATGCTCCTAGTACCCTTATCACTAAGGAAAATTACAAAGGCTTTAGAAGCTCTGTGCCAGGAAACAGGGACAGAGACCAATATATACATTTTCTATTACCTCACAATGAGCTACATTTATATACATGCAATTTCATTCCATGCTCTTTTGTTCAACAAATACCAAATTAGCACCTACCATATGCCGAGCACTGTTCTGTCATCGCACCAAACAGACCAACAGGCTTGTTCTCACAGTACTTACATCCTAGTGTTCCTAGTAACAGAGTGACAGTACCAAAGGAGTTGACCTTGACTCCTACAGATGATGGAGTCATTGGGATGCACTAGTAAATGCTGAGGACAGTCTGTTATCCTCCTTCCAGCCGATGGGCATCTTCTCCATCCTGGAAGAGGAGTGCATGTTCCCCAAGGCCACAGACACCTCCTTCAAGAACAAGCTGTATGACCAGCACCTGGGCAAGTCCAACAACTTCCAGAAGCCCAAGCCTGCCAAAGGCAAGGCTGAGGCCCACTCCTCCCTGATCCACTACGCGGGCACCGTGGACTACAACATTGCCGGCTGGCTGGACCAGAACAAAGAACCCCTGAACGAGACCGTGCTTGGCCTGTACCAGAAGTCTTCGCTGAAGCTGCTGTCCTTCCTTTTTTCCAACTATGCTGGTGCAGAAGCAGGTGAAATTTTTTTTTTAATTCCCCCTGTGGAAACTCTGTGTAATTACTCATAACTCATGAAGAACCAGTAGCTGGACATGAGCATCACGTTGAGCTTGATTTATTTGTCTGTCTCTGATCTCTGTTTTTCTTTCTCCTACTTCTATTCTTCCTCTTCCTTAAGAGATCAAGCTCTAACCATATGACCCAGCAATTCCACTCCTGGGTATACATCCAAAAAAAACCAAAAACACTAATTGGAAAAGATACATGCACTCCAATGTTCATAGCAGCATTATTTACAATTGCCAAGGTATGGAAGCAAACTAAGTGTCCATCACCAGATAAATGGATAAAGAAGATGTGATATATATATATATATATATATATATATATACATATAATGGAATATTACTCAGCCATAGAAAAGAAAAGAATGAAATTTTGCAGCAACATGGATGGACTTGGAGGGCATTATGCCAAGTGAAATAAGTCAGACAGAGAAAGATAAACACTGTATGATATCACTTACATGTGGAATCTAAAAAATACAACCAACTGGTGAATAAAACAAATAAGAAGCAGACTCACAGATATAGAGAACAAACTAGTGGTTACCGGTGGGGAGAGGGAAGAGGGAGGGGCAATACAAGGGTGGGAGGGAAAAAGGGTTATTACGGGATTATATGAAATCATGTTGTGAAACTTGTGAAAATTGTAAAGCACTGTAGAATTTAAAGAAATTTTCATTCAATAAAAAATAAATTAATTTTTTTAAGTCGAAAAAAAATTTTTTTAAAGAGATTAGGTTCTACAGAGGTGAACAGGGCCTCCCAGTGGACACAACAGCCAATACCACATTCTTTAATAGGTTTTTTTTTTACTGAGATATAATTCATATAGCATAAAATTCACCCTTTAAAAAATTCAGTGGTGGGACTTCCCTGGTGGCGCAGTGGTTAAGAATCCGCCTGCCAATGCAGGGGACACGGGTTCGAGCCCTGGTCCGGGAAGATCCCACATGCCGCGGAGCAACGAAGCTCCTGCGCCACAGCTACTGAGCCTGCGCTCTAGAGCCCGTGCTCCGCAAGGAGAGAAGCCACCGCAATGAGAAGCCCACGCACCACCATGAAGAGGAGCCCCTGCTCACCACAGCTAGTGAAAGCCCGTGCACAGCAACAAAGACCCAACACAGCCAAAAATAAAATAAATAAATTTATCAAAAAAAAAATTCAGCAGTTTTTGGTATATTTATGGGTTGTGCAACCATTACCAGTACGTAACTGCGGAACATTTTCATCACACCAGTAACCCTTTAGCAGTCACTTTCCACCTGCCTCCTTCCCAGCTTGTGGCAGTTGCCAAACTACTTTCTGTCTCTATGAATTTGCCCATTCTGGATGTTTCATGTAAGTGGAATCATACACTATATGGTCTTCTGTGTCTGGCTTCTTTCACTTAGCTTAACGTCTTCAGGTGTCCACGTTGCGGCAAGTGTCAGCAATTCATTTCTTTTTATAGGTGATTAATATTCCACTGTGCGGATCTTAACACAGTTTTGTCTGTCCACTCATCAGTTGATGGACCTTTATGTTTTCTCTACTTTTGGGTACCACGAATAATGCTGCTAAGAACATTTTATAGAAGTTTCTATGTGGACATTGTTAATGCTTTGGGGTACATACCTAGGGATGGAACTACTGAATCATATGGTAACTCTATGTTTAACTTTTGGAGGAACTTCCAGGCCATTTTCCCAAATGGCTGCACAAGGCAGTATCACTTGTTAAGATTACCTATATATTTTTTAAGTAATTTCCAGAATAAGGTTTAAAAATTATGGACTATTTTAAATGCATTAATTTAACAAATTAATGCTTTTAATTCATGCAATATAATCATTCATTAGATAATTTTTTACAATTAATGTCGAGTGTATTGGGCAGTATAATATAAAAATGGGCATAACTTTAAACTTGAATGATGAACACCATCGTCTTCAAATCTAATTAGGGCATCTCTGTAACTGTATTGCATAACCTCACTTAGCAGTGATGCCAGGACTCTAAACATAAGTTCCTGTGTAGGCATGAACCTGGGGAAGTGGCTTTCCTGCCTCTCCTCCCCACCCAAACAAATGGTCATGCTAGACCCTGGGGACAAAAGGGTGGAGTGAGAGGAGGGTGGGGGAAATGAGACATGAAATTTCCCCAAGGGCTGAATCTTGATTACATATCAGAAGATAAATCTGAAATTGAGCCATTCAGAAAAAGTAGACCCAATATCACTGATGCCTCATTAAGTTGGGCTGTTCCTTCTAGACAAGAAAAAAATGGACTTGTAGAATATTCTGAGAAATTTCAGCTGTATTACTTTGAAGAGATAAACAGGGACTCAGGAATTTTTAAAAGAGACACTCATGAAAGGAACCACACTCACCAAGAGGAACATCTCAATCTTGCCAACTATTCAGTTGGATTTCATGTCTGATGTCTAAAGGAAAAGACTCTCCTTGGATACAGAGAGTCTAAATTATACTCCCAGTTAAATGCCACTCATATCCCACCCCACTCCGTTCCCACAGTGATAAAAATCAGTGTTCCCAAATCTGAGTAGTTTGGAGGAATTTTAAGAATCAGAATACAGAAATGAACAAACCAAAAAACGCTCAGCTCTCCTATGTCAAAAGAAAACCACACTCTCACTTCAGGGTTTGGAGCAAGTGGTTTAGAAAGGCCACCACTGACAAAACTGTGCACTGTTAGTGGAGATGTAAATTTGTGAAGCCACTACAGAAAACAGTATGGAGATTCCTTTAAAAATTAAAAATAGAACTACCGTATGATCCAGCAACTCCACTTCTGGGTATATACCCAAAGGAAATGAAATTACTATCCCAAAGAGATACCCCCATGTGCATTGTAGCATTATTTAGAATAGCCAAGACATGGAAATGATCTAAGTGTCCATTGATGGATAAATGGATAAAGAAAAGGTCATATATAATGGAATATTATTCAGCCATAGAAAAGAATGAAATCTTGCTATTGGCAGCAATGGACCTTGAAGGCATTATGCTATGTGAAATAAATCAGACACAGAAAGACAGATCCTGTATAATCTCATGTATATGTGGAATCTTAAAAAACCAAACTCATAGAAACAGAGATCAGATCTGTAGTTGCCAGAGGTGGTGGGTGAGGGGTGGGAGAACTGGGTGAAAGGGGTTAAAAGGTACAAACTTCCGGGCTTCCCTGGTGGCACAGCGGTTGAGAATCTGCCTGCTAATACAGGGGACATGGGTTCGTGCCCTGGTCTGGGAAGGTCCCACATGTCACAGAGCAGCTAGGCCCGTGAGCCACAACTACTGAGCCTGCGCGTCTGGAGCCTGTGCTCCGCAAAAAGAGAGGCCGCGATAGTGAGAGGCCCGCGCACCGCGATGAAGAGTGGCACCCGCTTGCCACAACTAGAGAAAACCCTCGCACAGAAACGAAGATCCAACACAGCAAAAATAAATAAATTAATTAATAAACTCCTACCCCCAACATCTTCTTTAAAAAAAAAGGTACAAGCTTCCAGTTATGACATAAATAAGTTCTGTGGTTGTAAAGTACAGCATGGTAACTGTAGTTAATTACACTGTGTTGTATATTTGAAAGTTGCTGAGAGAGTAGAGCTTAAAAGCTCTCATCATAAGAAAAAGAAACTGTAACTAAGTGAAGGGATAGATGTTAAGTAGACTTAATGCTGTGATCATTCTGCAATATATACATATATCAAATCATTACGTTGTACACCTTAAACATATACAGTGTTATATGTAGTTAAATCTCAATAAAACTGGTGGGGCAGGTGGGTAGGAAAGGCCACCACTGTGTACTCAGGACTCACCGGACACACCCTCTGTGTCTGTCTCCAGGCTACGCTGGGGTGAGCGAGAAGGGCGGGAGGAAGAAGGGCTCCTCTTTCCAGACCGTGTCCGCTGTGTTCAGGGTTTGTTTTTTGGCAACTTCCACATTCGGTTGTATTTCTGCCCAGTGCAACGGCGTTTGCTAAGGTAAATGTGCTTCTTCTGGTTTGTGTCCCAGGAAAATTTAAACAAATTGATGGCCAATTTAAGAAGCACCCATCCTCACTTTGTGCGATGTCTGATTCCCAATGAGACCAAGACTCCTGGTGAGTGAGAATCCATCAGAGCAGGACTCCCTGAAATGTATGCAAAATTCTGTGGGTGTGGGTATGGGTGCACACGTGAGTATGTACATGTGTCTGTGTGCACGTGCATGTGTGTTTCCCTGAGGACAGGATCACGATAGCCTTTATCACTTCTCAGTCTATGAAACAGGGCTGCCAGATTTAGCAAATTAAAACCACGAGACGTCCCATTAAATTCGAATTTCGGATGAGACAATGAAAAATGTCCTTAGTATAAATATGACCCATGCAATATTTGGGATATACTTATACTAAAAATAAAAAAGTATTTACTGTTTCTCTGAAATTCAAATTCAACTGGGCATCCTGGGCATATTTTATCTGGCAGCCCTACTATGAAATTATATCCAAATTGTTATGTACATATATAGGTACATTAAATCCATACCTTTCATAAGATTCTTAAAAATCTTTCCCCCCAAAGTGAAGAGCCACTATATTTGGCAAATAATCAGCTTAGGTGTTCCATAGTAAAAACAGCATCAATAACAACTGTTTTCTGAGCCTAACGCAGTCCCATTATTATCTTGTCTCTACTGTTTACAGCAGTTCACTGCAAGATAAGCATAATCATCTCCATTTTATAAATGAGAAAACTGAGAGTCAGAGACCAGATATATAGACATAGAACACCATGTGGTACAGCAGACCTTTAACCATCAACGATCCTGGATGCACAAATATGGCTGAGTTTCAGGGCCATTTGTCACAAAGGAAAGAACAAACCATCACACAGACTGTGGCTACGAGGCAGCTCTCTCACCAGCCAAGCTGTTGAATCCCAAAGGCTGGGCTTCTGGCATCAAGGTCCTGCTTCAGCAATGTTACAGGAGAGAAGAGGAATTAGATGATCAAGGAAAAGATCCCAGCTCCACCTACTACTGCCCAAGGGACCACAGCTGGGTCCTTCAGCTTTCTGGTCTATAAGAGGAGGATTAAAACGGCATTTTCTTTACGCATTCACTTAGTTATTAATTCATTTATTTATTGAGTGAGCGCTTATAAAGTGTTGACTCATTTTGTAAATATTAACTCATTTAACCCACCTTAGAGGGCTGTTGTGAGAATTAAATAAGCCAGTACACGTAAAGCATTTGAAACAGGTCCCATCACAGGAACAAAAAAATTGTAACTATGTATGTAGACGGACGGAGGTTAACCAGACTTATTTTGGTGATCATCTCGCAATATATACAAATATCGAATCAATACGTTGTACACCTGAAACTCGTAAAATGTTACATGCCAATTACACCTCAATGTTTTTTAAATGCTGGTAGATAGCACTACAACAATAGTTGTAGGTGAATTTAAATAAACTCTGTCAGTTCATGATTAATGAGGTAGACCAAAATATACAAGTGTGGGGGCTTCCCTGGTGACGCAGTGGTTGAGAGTCCGCCTGCCGATGCAGGGGACGTGCGTTCGTGCCCCGGTCCGGGAAGATCCCACATGTCGCGGAGCGGCTGGGCCCGTGAGCCATGGCTGCTGAGCCTGCGCGTCCAGAGCCTGTGCTCCACAGAGTCCACAACAGTGAGAGGCCCGCATACCTCAAAAAAAAAAAAAAAAAAAGATTATGGAGAGGAGGTGACGCAGACCCTCACCTCCCCGCCCTCTTCCTTGGAGCTGACTATGGCTTCCTGCTCTTGTCTGGAGATATTAATTTACTCGGTCACCCCTTTAACCCACATTTACTGAGCTGCAGTTCTGTGCTGGGGCCTCTGCTTGGCACTGGGGATGCAGAAATGAGGCCTGGCCTCCAGGAACCCGTAGAGGAGCAGAAAGCAGACACGTGCGTGGCTAGTTTTAACGCCTATGACAAGCGCAATGTCAGTTATATTCGGGGCGGGGGGGACTCGTTGGGGTTGGCGTGAAGGGGTCAGCAAGAAAGAACTTTCTGAAGGAGGCTTTGCATGGCCTGAGGAAAGGTGGCCTGGGGGGAAGGAGACCGACAAGCAGGTCACATGCCTGGGGCGAGGCGTGGAGGTCCCCATATGCCACATTAAAGAGCCCAGGTTAAATCTTCTAGTTGATGAGGAGCCATGGAGGAGACGAGTGAGGATCAGGTTTATAGCTCAGAGCAGTCACTCTGGGGGACTTCCCTGGTGGTCCAGTGGTTAAGACTCCGCACTTCCACTGCAGGGACCATGGGTTCGATCCCTGGTCAGGGAACTAAGATCCCGTGTGCTGCACGGCACGGCCACACACACACACACACACACACACACACACACTGAGAGGTTGCTCTGGCAGCTACAAAAAGAGCAGGCCTGAGAGCACAAGAGGGGCCAAGACCAGGCTGTAACAGAAGTCCATTTAAAAGATGACAAGGACCTGAATTAGGAAACAGATCACGGGGGAGAGGAGGGGAGGCACTGAAGAAAGCTTAAAGGGCCTTAGGCCTTCAGTAATTCAACAGGAGGAACAGCAGCTCTGATGGCTGGTCCTGTGTGGGAATGTCAGGGAGAGGGGAATTTGATGGAAGCACCTTCTCCCGATTCCCCGACATCCCATACAGCTCTACCGTTGTCATTGCCATGACGCGCCACCATTACATATTAGTCAAGAATACCTCCCGGGCATCTGTCCCGGTGAAGGGAAAGGAAGCCAGCATGGAAACGAAAAAAATCTCAGAGAAGGGACCAGTTTAATGGAAAGAAAAGCAAGTTTTCAGGCTCACGTGAGTTGGATACGAAGCTGTGGAGGATGAATATTAGGAAACAGTGTCGGTGTCACTGGGACGCAGGCTACAGTCTCAGTTCGGAAAAAAGATCAGTCCTAGAAAGGCAAGAGTCTGGGAGGTGACCAGTGGGCTGGAGACAGGTCCTGGGTGGACACCAACACTTCAGCAGGAAGCAGGAGCCCATATGGCAAAACACACTGAAACAGGAAAACTGTCTTATCAGGGAATCAAGGGCAAAAGGATTGGGATTGACATATACACACTACTATATATTATAAAATAGATAACTAATAAGAACCTACTGTATAGCATGGGGAGCTCTACTCGGCGCTCTGTAATGACCTATATGGGAAAAGAATCTAAAAAAGAGTGGCTATGTGTATATGCGTGACTGATTCACTTTGCTGTACAGCAGAAACTAACACAACATTGTAAAGCAACTATATTCCAATAAAAATTCATACAAAAAAAAAGGTGAGAGTTAACAACTCCAATGTGGGAGAAAGACCCCATAAAACGGGAATGAAAGAAGCTCATCACATTGTAATTGGAGGCCACTGACAACCTTAGGCTGAGCATTTTCAGTAGGGTAGTGGGGGTGGAAGCCAGGTGGATGGGAGACCCTCAGTGGCCCTGGACCCTCGCTCACCTCCCAAATTTGCATGTGCTATTTCCTCTGCTTTTCATTTGCAGAAGGGACTCTGGAGTCCATAGGATCTGCACAGCTTGGCTGTACCTCCTTCCCACCTGGCCGGGAAAGGTGAAGGTCATGGGGCCTGGGGGGCAGGGGAGTGGAGACTGGGCCTTGCTATGGCCCATTAACCCCAGTCCTAATGATGCACAGGGACTCCATCTTCTGCATCCAGTACAACATCCGATCTTTCATGAACATCAAGCACTGGCCCTGGATGAACCTGTTCTTCAAGATCAAGCCCCTGCTGAAGAGTGCGGAGGCCTAGAAGGAGATGGCCACCATGAAGGAAGAATTTGAGAGAGCCAACGAAGAACTGGCCACATCTGAGGCTCATCGGAAGGAACTGGAGGAGAAAATGGTGTCCCTGCGGCAGGAAAATAATGACCTCCAGCTGCACGTCCAGTCTGAGACCAGGAGGCCCCACCAGTGTCTATTCAAGAGACAGTAGTGCCACTCAGTGGGCCTACAGAGTATTGCATGACTACCCTGCCAGGGAAGGAGGCCAGCCCTCAGATCTCCCTGGAAAACACAACTGCAAAGTGAATTTCTGCTCACTCTGATTTCTCCCTGTCTTCCACAGCGGAGCAAGATGTATTTTGCTGTGGGCATGAGGGGGATGTGTCTGTCATCAGAATAAAAAGCTGTCAAGAATGCACCAGGTCTTTTTAAAAACTGTAAATAAAAAGACATCACTGGAAGTTCCCTGGTTGCCTAGTGGTTAGGATTCCGGGCTTTCACTGCCGTGGCCTGGGTTCAATCGCTGGTCGGGGAACTGAGATCCTGCAAGCCGCACAGCGCGGCAATAAATAAATAAATGTTTAAAATTAAATCATTCAACTCAATGTAGAAAGAGTAACTCTCTATATGTGATTTTCAAGAAAATAATTATACTCTAAAAATGCTTTATATATATGTAATTCATAAATTACTGTTCATTTCCTTTACAACAAATATAAAATAAAATAGAAATGCTTTAAAGATATGCATTTTTTATCAGACAAATAGGGAAAATGAAACCACACAACCAGTAGGTAACACTCTGGCAGCATAAGGGTCTCTTTTCATAGAGTTAAGACATTTATCGTTTGCCCTTTTTAATAAACCCCCAACATCTTACTGCTCCCCTTTTCACTTTCCCAGTCAGTACGTGCAGCTGTTAGGAACCCTTTCCCAAGCACAGCGGGCAGAACAAGTTTTGGAATCAGATCTTGGTTTACATCCCAGATCCCCCACTTGGGAGCTGTGTGAACTTCGGCAGGTGACATCCCTTTTGTGCCTCAGTTTTCTGTAAAATGGGCACAGCAAGAGTAGCCACCTCGCAGGTTGTTGGGAAGATCAGGTGAGTTCGTGCTTGTACAATGCCAGCACACAGCACACGTTCAACAAACACAGAGGCTATTCCCGCTAGACTCTTTTCATCCTTTACCTCGAAATGTGTGTCCAGTTCTTACAATACTCTGGTAGGAGAAGACACAGTCCCATTACGTTTAAGAGCATAATTAGCTAATCCTGGCCACTCCAAGAGACTCATTACAGAGTCTTCTGGGACATGTATGTATTAAGTGATGACAAAATCACTTATTTTTGTCTATTTGGAGTTTTCAGTTCCGTGGCTTGAGGAGGCAGGGCTGAGGAGACACAGGGTGCACTTTTCTGTTAAGAGTCTAAAAAGGTAGTCATGGTTGGGAACTATTAGTTAGCTTGTGAAAGCACAGAGGAGATGAGTTGTTTTTCAACTCCTGGTAGAAGGAAGAGTAAAATGGCTGGGGGTCCAAACGTGGCAAATTTGCAGAGGCTTTATGAATGCCATGAACGCCTTTGCTTGAGGTTAGCTTAGGTGATTTTCTATTAAGTAGATGACATCCTTAGTGGTTAATAAAAAAAAGGACTTGGATGATACATATGTGCAAGGGTGTGTGTGGCCATGACTCACTCCTTGACTTGGGTCCAGATAATGGCCTTTTGGAGGGCAAAGCCCTTCCCTTCTGGGGTTGGTCAAGAGGCTGATCAAAAAATAACAATCTGTAAACAACAAGACCCTACTCTAGAGCACAGGGAACTATATTCAATATCCAGTAATAAACCATAATGGAAAAGAATATGAAAAAGAATATACATGTATAACTGAATCACTTTGCCGTAGAGCAGACACTAACGTGACACTGTAAATCAACTACACTTCAATAAATTCAATTTTTTAAAAGACATCACGATCTGGCTCTTTCAGGAAACAGAAAGCCTGATGGATGCCGAGGAACGGTGCGAGGGGCTCATCAAAAGGAAGATTCAGCTGGAGGCCAAAGTGAAGGAGGTAAACGAGAGGCTGGAAGAGGAGGGGGGGGGATGAATTCTGAACTGGTTGCCAAGAAGAGGAACCTGGAAGATAAATGCTCCTCCCTCAAAACAGACACTGACGACCTGGAGCTGGCCCTGACGGAGGTGGAGAAGGAGAAGCACGCCCCGGAGAACAAGGTGAGCACGCCCAGCCCCCGCCAGGAGGAGACAGGCGGGGAAGGAGCCCGTTCACCCTACATTGTCCAGAAGTGAGAGGGGAGCCAGTGGACGGGCAGTTACATCCCAGCGAGTCCGCCTCTGCCCTGTTCTAGACCCCATGGGCTCTTCCCCCGGTCCGGCTGCCTGCCTGGTTGCACCACAAACTTCTAGCCCTAACCCTTCCTCCACAAGCCAAGAGATGCTTCAGGAGAAGCACGTGGCACAGGGGGAGCCGACAGATGTGCCTACAGGGCCAGACGGATGATGGGGGAAGCAGGTGTGAAGAAGGCAGAAAGCTGGACCACGCCAGGGGTTGGCAGGGAGGTTAGAGGCACAGGGACCCTCGTGCGTGCACGAGGTTAGAGGCACAGGGACCCTCGTGCGTTACTGGTAGAGTGTAGACTGATGCAGCCTTCGGGAACGCCGTCTGGAAATTCTTAGTCGAATGAAGAATCCACACATCCGGACTTCCCTGGTGGCGCAGTGGTTACGAATCCACCTGCCGATGAAGGGGACACGGGTTCGAGCCCTGGTCTGGGAAGATCCCACAGGCCGCGCAGCAACTAAGCCCGTGCACCACAACTACTGAGCCTGCGCTCTACAGCCCGCGAGCCACAACTACTGAAGCCCGCGTGCCACAAGTACTGTGACCCTGCGCCTAGAGTCCGTGCTCTGCAACAAAGAGAAGCCACCGCAATAAGAAGCCCACGCACCACGACAAAGAGTAGCCCCTGCTCGCCGCAACTAGAGAAAGCCCGTGCACAGCAACGAAGACCCGACGCAGCCAAAAATAAATAAATAAATAAATTTAATAATAATAATAATAATAAAAAGAACCTTTCAACCCAGTGATTCTGCTTCTGGGTATACAGACCACGGAATTCTTCTGCCAGGTCCATGAGGGGACATGTATGAGGATGTTCATGGCAGTGTGGCTTGTGGAGGGGGGTGCTGGAGGCAAGATCGGGGTCCACCTTGGAGGGATGGAGAGGTGCGGGGCAGAAGATGCACAGCCGGGTATACTACACAGCCATCAGGGCAACAAGATGGATGTAAAAGAGGACAAAGGAAGAAAGAGAAATATACAGCATGGTACCATTTATGTAGACTAAAATCACACGCACACAAAATCACATACACTTTACAAAAATAAATGAAAAACACAATCCATGATTCACGTCATAATGGTTGCCAGTGAGACGGAGGCAAGGATGAGGTTGGCCCGGTGTGAGATGACCCGCGTCAGTGTGGGACAGACAACCGGGCGTTGATAGGGAGGTGATAGGGAGGGGTGGGGACTGCGGCGAACTGGAGAGCACTTGCCCTGCCCCCAGGTGGCAGCCAGGGCCCCGCACCAGCCAGCTTGTGCCCGGTGGCCTTGTGAGTCCAGCACTGCCAGAGCTTCCAATTTTCCTTGAGAAACCAGACATCCCAGATTTTATGTGAAATCTCATGTTTTTTCAACTTTTATTCAAAAGTTGTAAACTATTATGTGGCCAGATTCGGCCCATAGGTCAGGAATTACTAACCTCTGATCTGGCAGAGCGTCATACATGGAAAAAAGTTCAATTTAACGCCTTAAAATCTCTGCGGTTGGTGCCGCTGTCCTGCTTCCTGACACACAGGACTCCTGTTCTGGATTTTCCTGCATAGCACCTCATGCCTGTCCTTCTTCCCCTTCCTGCCTCATTCTAAACCCCGGGTCAGCTAATAAACAAATCCCCATGGATGTACTGCGATGAATATAGACTGTTGTGTTCCTTCCAGAGGCGGCATATTTGCATTTATCAGTGTCCTTCCTTGTACCATATAACACCCTCTTTAAAGGAATCAGCTTTAAGGGGAGGGTTTGGGGCTCTGTGATAGGCCAGTGAGGACTGAAAAAACCCAGAGGCTGCCAATTTCAGGATGATGCAGCCAACACTGTGAGCACCTGCTACGGAGGCAAAGAAGCAGTAGCCAAAAAACAAAAAAGTCAAAGAAAAGGAAAGAAAAGAATCAACAGCCTTTGCCAGAAGCTTCTGGTTTAATTGTTTGAACTTTCAATTGGTGTTGATACTCTCTTGTGTAAAGAATCTTTCAGAAGAAATGACAGCACTTGAAGAAAACATTTCCAAACTGACCAAAGAAATCTCTGCAGGAAGCCCATCAGCAAACATTGGAGGATCTTCAGGTTGAAGAAGACAAAGCCAGTGGTCTCACCAAAATAAAAGTCAGGCTGGAGCAGCAAGCAGACGACGTGAGGATATTTTATTACTACGCACTAACACTGATTACTTGTGGAAGCGCAGGCAGGATGGGCTCTACACAGGACGCAGGGGTTGAGGGTTCCGACTCTAGGGCCAGAATCCCTGAGTTCAGATCTCAGCCCATTCCAAATGAGTCTGGAATGCTGAGTGAGCCACTTAACTCATGAAGCCTCAGTCCCCACCTTGTGAAATGGAGATAGAATTGGAAAGCTCTACCTCGGAGGGTTTGCATGCGTGGAAAGCTCAGCACGTGGAGGGTGTTGAGTAAGATGTTAGCTGCTAGTATCACCATCATCACTAGCATCCACTTGAATGCAGGTCTTTGGGTCCCGAAAGCTCCAATCCTGTTCTAACTTTGTGAAAAGTGAGTTCCAGGGCTTCCCTGGTGGCGCAGTGGTTGGGAGTCCACCTGCCGATGCAGGGGACACGGGTTCGTGCCCCGGTCCGGGAAGATCCCACATGCCGCGGAGCGGCTGGGCCCGTGAGCCACGGCCGCTGAGCCTGCGCGTCCGGAGCCTGTGCTCCGCAACGGGAGAGGCCACGACAGCGAGAGGCCCGCGTACCGCAAAAAAAAAAAAATTACTATACTGTAAGAAGATCCCATGGTTCCTTTGAGCGTCATCTTCTCAAAGGTTTGTTTACAAACCAGTAAATACTTATCTATTAAAAGCTGATGGTCTAAGATATTGGTGATTAAGCAGCAATCACACATAAAAATAAAGAAAACCTGAAATGACCAATTTTTTAAACTGACCTTTATGTGTTCTGTATTTTTATTCTTATTTTACCTAATGAGAAGCTAAACTGTCAAACTTCAATACTGGGCACCAGGGACCCATGTTTCCCATTCATGTTGGCTTTTTCTTTTCTTTTCTTTTTAAAGAGTAACGCGGAAAGAATGTGCCAGACTGTGGAAGATCAATTTAATGAAGTCAAGGCCAAGGATGACCAACAGACACAGTTAATCCATGATCTGAACATGCAGAAGGCGAGGCTGCAGACCCAAAATGGTGAGGATGGGCAGGGCCCGGTGGTGGGACCACTGGGCCGTGGGAGAGGGTGGTCCAAACTCTGACGTGGGGCCACATCTGTTTGTCAGGGGAGCTGAGCCACCAAGTGGAAGAGAAGAAGGCTCTGATTTCACAACTAACCGAAAGCAAGCAGGCCCTCACCCAGCAGCTGGAGGAGCTTAAGAGGCAGCTAGAAGAAGAAACCAAGGTAAGGATGGTTGCCTCTGTTTAGGAAGGCAGAGTCAGGTGGAACCTGAGAAGTCACCAGGCCGGTTGGGGGCACTGCTGCATCATGAAGTGTGATGCTCCTCTTCCTTGTAGTAGAAGGAACCTGTTCTTGGAGGTTACAGGACCTCGGCAGGACCTTCTTCTTCAGAGATAGAAAACTCTACCAGGGTGCTCCATCCTCGGAGCTCCTCTGTGCCCCACTGGAGGGGCTGATAAATGCCCCTCCCCATCCAGGGGTATCCCCTCCCCATCACTGTACTAGCTTGGGCATCTCTGCCTCTGTGCATTCTTTCACTCTGCCCTGCAATTCATCCCAGCCCCTTGAAAGGCCCTCCTCTTTCTCCTTCATCACTCTTTGTGTATCACCAGCTACAACACCCACATTTAAGCCCCCCTCCTCCAAGAGACCACATTTGGAGCACCCTTGGGACATCTGCATAAACATGAACACCATTATCACCTTCTTGACGTCAATATCAAGCTATTTATGTTTATAATTCATGTCTCCCCACTAATCTGTAAACTTCTAAAGGGCAAGAATTATTTTTCCCCGCCGTAACGGTAAACGGTAAGTACAGCACACAGAACAGTGCACACAGTAGGTGCTTAGTAAATGCTGTCGATGGGTGTTCGAGCACTAGAATAGGAACCCAGAAGTCCGCAAACCTGCATGAGTGTAATTCTGAGGTTAACCACGTGCCAGCTAAAACTTACAGGGCAGTCTCTTGGAATTCCACCAAGTTCCATCTGCCCCTTCCAAAAAAGAAGTGCTATATTTGTCTCCCATCTTCCTGTTACAGGGTAGGGGTATTTGGTGGACTGGGTGGAGGCAGGGGGAGTGGAGAGAACCAGAACCTGAGAAGGTCCATTACAGGAGCAAGGCTGTCCTCTGGCCAGGATACAGCTAAGCTTTCCTTCCTGGGCTAAGTTTTGTTGTTTATTTGTGTCTTTAAAAGGATAAAAATGTATGAGATATTGCACTGGGTTGACCAGAAAGTATTCTGTGACCATTATAATGAGAGCTACATTGTCTTCCCGACCAGGTAGGAGTGAGTGATGGAGGCCTCCGGGCACGTCCCCCTCCTGCTTGGGAAGAGGTGGCAGAGCTGTGGAAACGGCATAGCTCATGTCAGAGTTCCCGGGTGGGGACACAGCCCACTGCTGACACCAAAAGACGCTTTTGGGGTTTTCATGGGCACAGTACTCCATAACACTGCATTAAGTAGTGAGAAAATTTATCCCCTTTCCAATTCTACTTCAATTCTTCTGATTAAATAAGGAAAAGGTCTCACTTTGGATACCATCTCTCTAACACTGGTGTATCTTCCTCACTAAGACGCAGAGAGTAGGCCTCAGACACAGAGGCACAGCAGCGAAGTACTTCACTAGAAAGTGGTAACACCGCCTTACCTCCACTGCATTTATTATAGTTATCTTCTGCTTATGGCAAAAGTTAATGGTTTTCCATTTAAATAAATATATTTAAATATAATAAAGGAGTCAACTTTTTAAAAAATGAAGTAAATAAAACAGGAGATATACTGCTACAGCAAAGTTTGTGAAGGCAGCAAGGGAGTGATTCAAGTTGGGAAACACTGGCTGAAACAAAAATACCTTAACTTGGAAAATGGCCACACGTTTTTGCAATTTGTCACCACTGTGATTCTGCAGGCCAAGAGCGCCCTGGCCCACGCCCTGCGGTCCTCCCACCACGACTGTGACCTGCTGCGGGAACAGTATGAGGAGGAGCAGGAAGCCAAGGCCGAGATGCAGAGGGCGCTGTCCAAGGCCAACAGCGAGGTGGCCCAGTGGAGGACCAAATACGAGACGGACGCCATCCAGCGCACAGAGGAGCTGGAGGAGGCCAAGTAGGGGCTCCCAGGTTACGGTAGGAGAGTCGACCCTAAGACACAAGGCAAGGGACAGAGGACAGACCTTCTCTTCCTCCCCAGGCCTTTGAGTTTTCTTAAACACGCAGACCTGGTCTCCCTGCCCCTCTCCCAGGGTACTGTCCATTCCGCCCGGTCCCCTCGGCGCCTCCTAGGTGACTGCTTTGCCCATTTGGGGACTCTTCAGGTGATACGTACTGTCCAATCATCAAGCTCTAGGTCTTCTCAAATTCCAGTCCTTTATAGATGGCTCAATTCCCTTCCGATCCGATAATTACTTCTGAAATGGTCCACCTTTGTCAACAACAACAAACCTGGTTCTCTTAGGAAAAAACTGGCCCAGAGGCTCCAGGAAGCAGAGGAAAACACAGAGGCTGTGAGCTCCAAGTGTGCTTCCTTGGAGAAAACCAAGCAGAGGCTCCAGGGAGACGTGGACGACCTGATGCTGGATTTGGAGCAGGCCAACACCGCCTGCGCCTGCCTGGACAAGAAGCGGAGGAACTTCGATGAGGTCCTTCCCCACCGCTTGACGGCAGCCACAATGCAAGAGATGTGTGAGATGCACACCTTCGGGGAGGCCCTCGAGCATCAACTCCCAGTGTGGAGGGTTTGGGGCTTTGCGCTGTCTCTTTACTTTTGTGACAGTCCCTCCAAAATGAATTTTATTTTTCGTTAAAGTTAATTCAACTTACTTTGAGATCAACATATCTTTCAAGAATACAGCAGACCTTTGTAGTGGTATCAGAGTTTGGAACCCCTGAGTTTGGGGCTCACCCTGTTTCTTTGGTCCCTAAGGATAGAAGGGTCCACCTTGTCATTGCTGATGGCCCTTGTTGACAGTTGACATGACTCATCCAAGTCCCTGGCCCTTTCGGCTTCTCACGTGTCCCTCTGTCACCTCCTAGGTCCTCGCAGAGTGGAAACAAAAATTGGATGAGAGTCAAGCTGAGCTGGAAGCTGCTCAGAAAGAGTCTAGGTCACTTAGTACTGAAATCTTCAAGATGCGCAATGCCTACAAGCAGGTGGTGGGTCAGTTAGAGACACTGAGACCGGAGAACAAAATTCTGCAAGGTGAGCTCTCCCCATCACAGGGGTGTGACAGTCCCCAGCTCTCTCCCCATCACAGGTGACAGCCCCCAGCTCTCTCCCCCCAACAGGTGTGTGACAGCCCCCAGCTCTCTCCCCATCACAGGTGTGTGAGTCCCCAGCTCTCTCCCCATCACAGGTGTGTGACAGTCCCCAGCTCTCTCCCCCCAACAGGTGTGTGACAGCCCCCAGCTCTCTCCCCATCACAGGGGTGTGACAGTCCCCAGCTCTCTCCCCCCAACAGGTGTGTGACAGCCCCCAGCTCTCTCCCCCCAACAGGTGTGTGACAGCCCCCAGCTCTCTCCCCCCAACAGGTGTGTGACAGTCCCCCTTCTCTTCTGGCCACCCCTCCCCCATTTGGCCACAGCATCCTCCTTCCTGCTGCCCCACAAAATCCTCACATCTACTCAGTTTACCCTGAGACCCAAACTCCCCCAATGTGAGGCATAGTCACAGCCAAGCCTTGTTCTTGAGAACAGAGGGCTCTCTGGGCTGCTAAGCTCCCTGCTCTTCTACAGAACATATCTTCCATGGATTCTGTCTCTACATGGCTTTGTGTCCTTGATCCTGTCACTAGATCCCTTAGGATCTCAGACTGCTGACCTATAAAACTAGACCAGATCCAGTGCCCCCTAAAGCCCCTTCTATTTCCGAGACCATGATTCTATGTGTTTTCTCCACAGTTTTCTCCCCCGGTCCTCTCTGTGCCCCTTCTGTGTACTGTGTGAAGGTTCAGGGTCATACAGGTGTTCTGTTGCTTCTCCCCATGCATCTTCAGGTGAGGCCACACACCTGTGTCTTGTCCACACCTTCCCCGAAAGGTTTCACTGTACTTGTTCTCTCCTATATGAATGTCATGAATGAATCACCAATCCCCAAATTCCCTGGCAAATGCCTGTGCTATCAGACAGAGCCTGTGAAAACAGCCTAAATCAAGCCTGTCCTTTGCAGAAGAGATGACTTAACCATGCAGATTGCGGAAATGAGCACGAATCTTCAGGAAGTGGAGAAGACCAAGAAGCAAGTGGAAAGAAAAGTCAGACCTCCAGGCTGCCCTAGAAGAGGTGGAGGCAAGTGTCTGGGATGTGAAGGAGGGCGGGGCACTGAGGAAGGGGACTAGACCACCCCCAGGGGCCCTTCCTGTGGGAGGCACTGGGGCTCCAATGGGAAGAATCCAGCCCCACCCCTGCCCTGGGGGGGGGACCAGCTGCTCTCTGCTTCGTCTGTCTCCTGGGTGTCGTCTAGTCCATCGTATTTCTCCTACTGAATAAATAAACTTGTTCATTATGTCCTCAACGTCTTCCTCTCAGAAAGCAAGAACTCAATCACCAACCATCCTGAGAGCCAGCTCAGAATGCCTTAGTTTAAACAGAGAGTTATACACAGTCATCTTTGGCTGTTGGGAATTCTGTGTGGTCCAAAGAGTGCAGTATCCTGATGTAATCGTCAGTTGTGGCCAGTGAGGGGTTTGGGGCTTTGCGCCGTCTCTTTACTTTTGTGACAGTCCCTCCAAAATGAATTTTATTTTTCGTTAAAGTTAATTCAACTTACTTTGAGATCAAAGTACTTACTTTGAGATCTTAAGACGTTCTAGGGAAGTCTGCACTACGCAGGATAACAGGAGAGCAATTCCTCTGTCTTTCTCTGTCTTTTTTGAGAAGAGGTTGGCTCCTGACTTATGGTCACTATTTAAAAAGACACAGTAATCAAAATTTTTACTTATTGAAAACGATGCTCTGTCCTCCTCAAGACATAAGATTGTTAACAACAAAGCTTCAGTTCTAGTTTCATTACTAGTAACAACTTGGGAGCAAACTGTTTGACCTTTTTGAGTACTGTTCTATTTATTTGTAACATGAGTCTAATAATACCCATTTTATCATAATGGAGATGCAAAACCTCATTCAAGAAGGTGGCTGCCCCCGGCAATCCCAAGCACTCCTTGACTTTTATCAGGGTTCCTTGGAGCATGAAGAGAGCAAGATTTTGCGTGTCCAGCTAGAGTTGAACCAGGTGAAATCCGAGCTTGAGATCACTGAGAAGGACAGAGAAATCGAGCAGCTGAAAAGAAACAGCCAGCAGGCAGCAGAGGCCATGCAGAGCGCGCTGGATGCTGAGATCCGGAGCCGGAATGATGCTCTGAGGCTGAAGAAGAAGATGGAGGGGGACCTCAGTGAGATGGAGATTCAGCTGCGCCACTCCAACCGCCAGGTGGCAGAGACCCAGAAACACCTGTGCTCAGTCCGGGGCCAGCTCAAGGTGAGTGCACGGCCCCTGGAGGACCTGGCAGGACCTCAGCCTGCCCTGGGCTCCGGTCTCACCCCTGGTTTCTCATGAAGGACACCCAACTGCATCTGGATGATGCCCTGAGGGGCAATGAGGACCTCAAGGGGCAGCCAGCCATCGTGGAGCGCAGGAATGGCCTCTTGCTGGAGGAGCCGGAGGAGAGCAAGGTGGCCCTGGAGCAGACGGAGCAGACCCGTAAGCTGTCGGAGCAGGGGCTGCTGGATGCCAGCGACCGAGTGCAGCTCCTTCACTCCCACATGTGTCCATCCTCACTCCACCCAGGGTCCACCCTGGAGGCAGGCAGGACCCAGGCTTGATGGAAAGGAGTTCCCACCACTCCTTCCAGGCTAGTGGTCAAGACAAACTTTCATTAGGCCTAGTTCTTGGAATAACTTTGTCTCTAGATGGACAGATTGCTAAGCTTTCTTTTATCTGAAGATAAAAGATCATGGGGAAATCGGAGCAAGGAATGACGAATTATTGCATAAAAGGGCTGGAAAAGGCTTCACAGAGGCAGTAACATATAAGCTGCAAGCTTAGAAAATTAGAATTGTCTTTTGAAATAATTACTTTTAGGAAAGTTAAAGAATTCCTTGTTTCATTTTTTACTTTTTTGGACCACGCCACATGGCATACGGGATCTTAGTTTCCCAACCAGGGATTGAACCCGCGCCCTGCGCGGTGGAAACACAAAGCCCTAATCACTGGACCGCCAGGGAATGCCCCCAAAATTCCTTGCTTTAAAAACTATTTTTTGAATTAGCCAAAAAAACAGAAAAATACCAACCATATTGTTAGCATTTTGGGATCTCTTATTCTAGGCTCTTGTTTCTATACATAAATATGATATTTTTTGTAAACGTGATTAATCCTTTTGCAACTTTTTTTCATTTAACAACGTGTTGTGAACATATTTCTATATTTTAGGGGGGTTTTTGGGTTTGTTTTTGTTTTTTGTTTTGCAGTACACGGGCCTCTCACTGCTGTGGCCTCTCCCGTTGTGGAGCACAGGCTCCGGACGCGCAGGCTCAGCGGCCATGGCTCATGGGCCCAGCCGCTCCACAGCATGTGGGATCTTCCCGGACCGGGACACGAACCCGCGTCCCCTGCATCGGCAGGCGGACTCTCAACCACTGTGCCACCAGGGAAGCCCATATTTCTATATTTTAAAATAGTTTTCTACGATACAGTTTTTTAATGGCAGAAAAGCAGTCCATTTTAGTTGTGTATTATGGCACTTTTATTTAATCAGTCTTCTATGGTTGTATATTTTTAGACTGTTCCCAGTAAAAATTTTTATGATTGGAAGATTGTATGACAAACTTCTTCATAACTAAATTTTCACATATATCCATGATTACTATTTCCTTAATATTCCTGGAAGTATATATTCATGGTCAAAACAGCAAAGACATTTATGATATGTTGTAAACTGATCTTTAAACAAAGTTGTCCCAATTTTTATTCCCATGGGGAAAATATGTGAGCGTGCTTAGCTATTATTTTTTTTCATCTTCACCAATTTTGAAATGCCTCATTTTAAAAATGGTTGAAAATGCCTCATTTTAAAAATCCTTGTTTCTTTGATTACTAATGAGGTGGAACATTTTGTCCTATTTGTTGGCTACTTGTATTTCTTCTGGTGTGTCTTAGCTATCTGTACTTTTGCCCTTTTTTCTTAATGATTTGTCTTTTTTACAGATTAAGGAAGGAAATTTTTTTCAGTAACGCACACTGCAAATGTTTTCTCGTTTGTCATCACCCTAGCAACTCTATGTGCAATGTTTTGATCATGAGAATTATTTTTCATTTCACAGTTATGTCAACCATTTCCTTGTTCCAGCACCTTTAACTAAATAATCTATCCTTCCTCAAATATCTGAATGTCCACATTTATCATTCACTCAGTTCTTTTCTGTACAATTCTCGGGCCTGTTTTGGGATATCTGTCCTATCAAAAAAGAAAGCGTGTTTTTAATTTTTTTCACCTGTGTGAAAAATAAGAAATGGAACGTTCTCGAGATTGACTTCTTTCCCCACCCAACCCTCTCCCTTCCAATCGTTGTAAGTGTCCAAATGTAGCCCGAACCTCTTATCTAATTTTTCTTGTAGAACACGTGCCTGATAAATAGCAAGAAAAAACTGGAAGCTGACATAGCCCAATGCCAGGCAGAGGTGGAGAACTCTATCCAGGAGTCCAAACAGGCAGAGGAGAAGGCCAGGAAGGCCATCACGGATGTGAGCTCCATTCTTTCTTATCAGAGATGCTGTCTGGAGATGAGAAAGGGGCTTCTAAGCCAGGACCTGCAGGTAGGTTTCCTCTCCTCACCCCTGCATTCAGTCAGTGGTGGCTTCCTGGAGAGACGGAAGGAGATGGAGCCTCAGCAGAGGCCAAGTGGGAGGGGAGCCATGCAGAATCAGCGGCGGCTGCGGGAAGGAGGAAAGCATCAGCATGTCTAGCACCAGCCTCACAGCATCCTCCGTGTGCCCGCATAGGAGGGGTGGGTGGCCCACTGACGCCTCCTGTGAACTTAACCAGGCGGCCATGATGGCCGAGGAGCTGAAGAAGGAGCAGGACACCAGCGCCCACCTGGAGCGCATGAAGAAGAACCTGGAGCAGACGGTGAAGGACCTGCAGCACCGCCTGGACGAGGCTGAGCAGCTGGCCCCGAAGGGCGGGAAGAAGCAGATCCAGAAGCTGGAGGCGCGGGTGGGGTGGCGGGAGGGGACTCTCACTCCCAGACTGACACCAGCTCAGCCGCCTCTGGCAGAACCACAGTCCAGAAACTTAGGTGGCGGGGAATTGGGCACTGAGTCGACTGTAGGTTCAGTTTGAGGACCACTTGTGAAACTCCCTGTGAGCCAAATGTCCCCCCTACTTCTCCCTCTCCGGTCCCTATGCCCCAAGACACACACAAACCCACTTTCGAATGCGTATCCCTCGATACCTACAATGTAATGACATTTCAAATGTTCACATTCTGTTTTTATACAGATTCAGATCTACATAAATGGAAGGGGAAACATACCTTACAATCATAAGATTACACATTTTGGTGCAATTTACATTTTGGACCAGGCTCCACTTTGATAAACAATGGCCCATCCTACATAAGATATGCAGTCTCCCTCGCCCTCCCATTCCGGGAGCTCATTCCCTTCCCAGATTTCCTAATGTCGAAACACAACTTGCAATTCTGCTGCCTTCCTCAACTCCATCCTAAATGCAGGGTGACTGGCGTTTCCCCCAGGCTAACTCGCCAGCAAAGTGCGATCCACACGCAGGACAGTCCTGATTTTTCTTTACCTGGGAGTGTATTTTGTAGTTTTTAGTTTCTTTGCTGGTGGTTCCCTTTGTTTCCTATACCCCTTGCTTTTCCCGTTAGACCCTGGATGGCTTGTTTTATTTGTTTTTCTAAACAGGCTGCATTACCCATTTGCAGTTTGGAGAAGGGCTCGGAGGAAGAGGATGTTAAACTGTCTCTGCTGTCCCCCAGAGAACGGGCACGAAAGAGGGAAAGAGGATGAAGGGGCGGAGAAGAGAGGGAAACAACTTCTCCCAGCAGGAAAGACCCAAACACATTCTTCATGCCAGCCTCCCAAGGATGTGGTCACCAGCACTCGTACACTTTAAATGTGAAACAATTTTCTGGCTAAAAACTACAAGGCTGCAGACACATGAGTAACAAAAGTAAACACCAGGGAAGTCAGAGCTCCCCCCAGAATTCTTTAAATGCTTATTTTTAATTATTCCCAGTCCTCTTCTATTGAAACAAACTTGGGCTTGTCCTTCACACGGACCCCTCCCTGGACGGAGGAATTAGATCCCATGCCACCCTCTTTGATACTCTGATTCCTGGGTTGGCAGGGAACCCTCCGCCAACCTCCCCTCTGTCGTGGTGAGGCACCTTGACTGTCCTCCAGTCCCCAGCTGCCCAGTTATCTTAGTTTCATGAACCTTACAGAGGCCTAGAGAGAATTCCCAGGGAAGCTGATGGAAGACAGCTTCCCGGGGCTGGTGGGTGGGGTCTTCTCTGGAACAGCGCCCAGAGCTGCCTGTTCCACTGGTAGATTTCAAGGTTGATCCAGTGGCTACTGGGATGCCCAGGGACTGGCTGCCACCTCCACCACTGGGCTCTCCCTGGATTGAGGAATCGGGCTGCCCCCTCACGACTTCAGGAAAGGCAGACACAGCTATGAAATCAACAACACCTGTGTAGTGCTTTATCATCAACAAATACTTCCACAGACTTTGTCTCATCTGATCCCCACATTCAAGGCAGTTTGGGCCGGAATTATCATCACCATTCTAAATACACAGAAACTCATACTCAGTGATGACAACGGGCTTACTTTGGATGGATCAGCTGGACGGGGGGCTGAAACACACCTTGGACTCTACCTGGCCCAGGTTCTCTCCATGACCCCTGCCACCTTCCTTGATCAGGAAGCCCTCACCGGGCTGCATGGCCCCAGGGGAGGCGTCACTTTTTTGCGAAGCCTGGTCCACTAGGCGAGGCGCGTGCACCCGGGGTGCTCCTGCCCCAAAGACGGCGTCTCATTGTCACTTGCACAAAGCCACGGCACGGACTAGTGGCGGCCTTGGGAACCACATGTGTTCCTGAGCCCTAGGAGGAGTCATCTGCCCAAAATATAAGTAGAGCATCTTGAGTTTACCCTAAAACAACCTGCACGTGAGTGGGTGAGAAAAGCCTGGGAGGCGTGACCTGACCTCTGTGCTCTCTTCTGGGAGCAGGAGTCACATAGCGGGCTAGAGGCTGAGCAGAAGAGGGAAGCCCAGGCGCTGAAGGGCGCGCACAGATACGAACGGAAGATCAAGGAAATGACTTACCAGGTAGGCAACGGCTCTCCTGCATCCCCTGGATCAGACCCGGCAGAAGCAGCGGGGGAGGGGGTCTGGGGCCCTGGCACCGACGCTGTGTTGGCAGGCCGAGGAGGACCGCAAGAACATACTCAGGCTCCAGGACCTGGTGGACAAGCTGCAGGCCAAAGTGAAGGCTTCCAGGAAGCAGGCGGAGGAGGCCATGAGTAGGGGGTCCCGGGGAGTTGGGGGGGCAGGCGCCCTGGCAGGAGTCCGTCCCTGTTTCACAGCGCCCGCGGCAGCTGAGGCCCGAGTTTTCATTTGCGGGCTATAAACACAAGCTCAGGACGCCTGCCCTTTCCTTCTCCGGTCTGCATTATGCAAGCCTGCCCCACCTCCCCCTCCCATGGGCCTCCTGCCTCACTAGTCCTGGCCCCGCCCCTCCATCCCTTCCCTCTGCCTCAGCCCACCTGGCTTTAATCCCACCCACACTGGCTGACTCCACCCACCCCCAACTTACTCAGAATTCCCTGCCCCGTGAGCTAACCTTGAACACCTGGCCTTAATTCACGTCATCCCATCTCAGCCCTGGCCCTGGCTTCTACCACCTCCATCCCTCCCTGGCCTCCCTAGCTCCCACCCTCCAGTTCATCCTTTTTGATCTGCCCTTGAGCAAACAGGTGAAACCAACAGTGAGGAAATAGTTTGGGCTGAAACCAACATTTCCCAAATATCTTCTGGGGCCACTAGGTCTGGAGGATGTTAATAGCAGGAAGTTGGGGCAGCAGGTGGGGGGGAGGGGGAGGTATTTTACAGAAAAGAAATCGTTCGGGAAACTCTGGGTTACACAAAGTTGGATGACGGGTGGCTTTACTTCAGGATTTCTCAGATTTTGCAGGTAATACGGGATGGACTCCATAGTGGAAAAGGCGTTCTAGACTGTAGCATTTCCCACCCTTTAATGGACCTTGGCATCTTTGTATTGGAGGCAGAGCCTCCCACAGGACTAGTGTCCTGAGGAACAAAACCTGGGGGAGTCTGGCCTAGATAAATGACTGAGGGTGTGGCTTCTCCCCTGTCCTTTTTACTCCCCGCCCAAGGGCCTGGTGCTTCTGTCCTGACCTCTGGGAAGCAGATCTGAACTGGTTAAGTTGGGGGAGGATCAGTACAGTCGCAGCAGGACTGGCCAGGCTGCAGGGTCCCCGGGAGGCCACCTTCATGAGAAACGCTTGGATGGCTCTCAGACCCATACAAGGCCCGGGCTACAGGCAGACAGTACGGGGAGCAGGCCCGGGCGGGGTTGGCGGGGGCGGGAGCTGGACCTTTGGTCTCTGACAGCTCCACATGCCTTGGGACACTTGGATTTCCTCCCAAGAGCTCCGGGGTTGGGGGGATGGCAGAGAGGCGGGATACAGGGCAACATGCAGGCATCCTGGGGGCAGCAGACCCGCAAGGTAACCAGGCAGTGCACACAGGAGCCAGGGGCATCGTCTTCACCGCTGCAGAGCTCAGCTTTCCCTCCTCTGCCGCCAGGGAATTGGGGGCCCAAGCTCTCCTGGTTCCGCAGTTCCCCAGAGGTCATCAGGGACTGGGGGCCTCAGCGCCAGAGTGAGGGGCTTCCTCAGCCTCCTGCCCCCTCCACCTTCCGTTCAGGAGGAGCAGGCTAACACGCAGCTGTCCAGGAGCCGGAGGGTCCAGCGCGGGCTGGAGGAGGCCGAGGAACGGGCGGACATCGCCGAGTCCCAGGTCAACAAGCTGCGGGCCAAGAGCCGCGACATGGGGGCCCAGGTGAGAGCAGACTTCCTCCCCAGACGTCCTAGGACCCAGGACCAGGCAGCACCCAGCAGAGTTTGGAGGGTGCCTGTCAGTGCACCTTCCCCGCTGCTGGTCGTGCAGCCACAAAAGTCACTGCTTTAGCCTGGACCCTGTGGTTCCAGGCTCACAGGAGCAGTGCGGGACCAGGGCCAGACCACCCCATCATCCCCGCCCCTCCCTGTTGCAAGAGGCGCTGCCCAAGAAGCCCCTGCTTTTGGGGGAATTCACCCCAACTCCGGGAGCTCGACTGGTTTGTTTTTACAACGCGCAAACGGAGATAAAGCCACGCCTGAATATTTTCCTGAGGCTCCAGCATCTCCAGCTGCCCCCACTTGAAGACAGTGCCCAGCCTCACCTTTGGTTTGACTCATTTCCTGTGTACAATTCTTTTTCTCCCCCAGAAGATGGAAGAATGAGCCCTTCCCCCCCGTTGCCATGGGACACCTCGGGAAAACGGAGAGAAGGTGTCGTGAGAAATAAATTCTCCTGACTACTCGGATCCCTGGCTCTGCTGTGTTTATCATCACGGTCCATTCCTCCTCCGTGGGGTGGTTTTCAGATTCTTGCCAGGTCTATTTATAAACTATAAAGAAAGTAAGGGACGTGAAAGCAGACCCTCCTGGCCCTGAGAAGGAAAGGTGGAAATCCAACCCATCTCGAGATATATCACCAGCTCCCCAGCAGTTAAAAATAAAAACCCTTTCAGATAAGCATACCCCTTTTTCTGCCTAGGAACTCATAATTTTTTCCAATTCAGTTCCCCTAAATTTACAGACAGGGAAACTGGACCCAGATAGACTAAGCACTCTGACTGTAGTTGTCCAGGGTGGTGGGAGACTTGACCCCAAGATCCCAGGCCCCCCAAGCAGGGCTCTTTCCATGAAGCAGCTCTGCTTTTCCATCCCGTCCCCCCCCAGCGGCCGTGTCTCCACTCCTCTCAGACCACCCACAGCTCCCAGAACATCTTTAGAGGCAGTAGGCGCTCCTGAACCTGGGATGCATTCCTGGGAGGACAGATGCTTCGGGAAGGACTGCCTAGGGGCTGGCCTGTCCTGCAAGCCCTGCCCCTCCTTCGGGTCCCTCCTCTCCACGCACATGGACCCTCCCCCTGGTGCTTGAGCCGAGGGTGAGGGGTGCAGCTAGTCTCAGGGTCGCTCCCAGATCCCAGCCGGATCTTGCTGAGTGTGACTGTGTTGGTTTGCCTACCCTGAAGGGTAGTAAAGCAGCAGGACAAACAAGGACAGGATCAGAAGCCGAGACTAAATCTGAGCCTCGGCCTGACCACTTCGTAGCAACAGCTGTGTGGCCTGGGTTGGCCGCATACATTCTCTGAACCTGAGTTGTCTCAATGGTCAGACTGACCCGTGTGGTCAGGGGCATGGACTTTGGGTTCCAGCAAACCGGGATGGAATCCCAATATTATCACATACCAGCTGTGTGGCCTCGGGCAACTTAAGACTAACGGTCTGAGCCTCAATTTCCTTATTCTGTAAGGCAGAGATACCAATAAAAATCACCGCTTTCCCGGGACAGATGGGGGGTTGGGGGGTTGGCAAGGCGTGCAGGGCTTCTGGCTTACTAGGTACCAGGCACTGAGATGCACTCTCCTCTAAGATCTTAGATCGTCCCTTCTCTCTGGCCTTCTAGATCCTCCTTTCCATCTCATCACCAGCCCACCCCTTGTGCCTTTGACACAGTGGGGCTGGAAGGTAACGATGGGTGGCACCAGTAGTGGTGGCAGGAGGTGATTCTGAGGTCGGGTGATCTCAGATGTCTTGACATCGCCACCACCGTCGTCACTACCATCACCATACTCACCGTCGTCCTGGCTAAACTTGAGGACTGAAAGAGTCATTAAAAATGATCTCTTCAGGGGCTTCCCTGGTGGCGCGGTGGTTGAGAGTCCGCCTGCCGATGCGGGGGACACAGGTTCGTGCCCCGGTCCGGGAAGATCCCACGTGTCGTGGAGCAACTAGGCCCGTGAGCCATGGCCGCTGAGCCTGCGCGTCCGGAGCCTGTGCTCCGCAACAGGGAGGGGCTGCGACAGTGAGAGAGGCCTGAGTACCGCGATGAAGAGTGGTCCCCGCTCGCCGCAACTAGAGAAAGCCCACGCACAGAAACGAAGACCCAACACAGCCAAAAGTAAAATAAATAAATAAAAATTTTTAAAAAGCTAAAAAAAAAAAAATGATCTCTTCAATCTCCTCAATTTTACAGGCAAGGAAACCAAGGCTGTTCTCAAAGTGCCCAGATACCAGATCCTAAGCCTACACTTCTGCCACCCCGCTGCATCGCCCTCCCAATGAAAGTCATACAATTTCAAATACGCGAACAATTCTGTGTGATGCTGAGTATTACGGGACCGTCTTCCTCTTCTCCATCCTGGCCTCCCAACAAGCCCGTCAGGAGGTCAGGCAGATATTAACACCTTCATTTCCTAACGGGGCTGCAGATGGACTGTGGCCTTTCCAATGCTGAGGAGGAACTGGCATGGCAGCTCCTCAGATTCACCGCGCAGCACAGAGTCTCACACAGTGGCCTTTCCCTCTGTGTGGGCGTGGGCTTTCGTGGTGAGAGCCCTGGGGCCAACCTGCCGGGGTCCCAGTCTTGCCCCGCCATTCATAGCTGTGTGATTGGGAACAAGTTACTCCGTGACTTTAAGCCTCAGCAACCTCACGTATAAAACGGGATGTAACAACGTACTTTAGAGGGTTAGACGGAGAAGTAAGTAAGAATATGCAAGGAACGCCCTTGGTCTGGAGCCAGACACACAGTTTGTACCCTGGTAGCCTGGCATCATGGTGGGCAGAGGTAACACATGGTCTAAGGGCACAGGTGGAGTGTAAGACAGGGGCCCAGACGGGCTGGGGCTTTCACTGTGTCTCTAAGGAGCTTCCTCTGGTTTGAGGGGCTGACACACCATGCATTTGAGGGTCATCAAAAAAACTTCCTGTAGAATCACTCCTTTCTGACACCCCCACAAAAGCAGATCTGGATTCCATCTGCTCGAACACTCCCCAGGTCACCTGGAGCTGCCTAGCATCTCTGCACTTACCTGGTCCCCCACCTCCCCACCCTGGGCCCTCAGATCTCCAGCACATCATACTTTCCAGAAGGCCTGGGGCAAGTAAGGGAATGTCTCTGAGCCTCAACATGGGGCAGGAAGTCCTGGGACTTCCTACCTCAGGATGAAGTTGTTGAAAGACTCCCGCGTGACGCTGCGCAAGGGATTTCCCCAGAAACGCAGTACTGCGCAAATTGGAGATGTTTTACTAACAAGAATGATAATAATAATGAGATCGTTGTTGTTATTATTATCTTTCAGCAGTGAAACCTAGCCACCAAACCTGGGCTTCGAGTTCTGGGGCCTGGGAGAACAGAACCCACCCTGACCCACAGGCCTCTTCTAAACAGAGCTTTGCTGCCACCTCCTGGCTATGGAAAGACATGCTTTTCATTTTGCAAATGACCTAGAGATTGCACCCCTGAAGTCTTGACATTAGACGTTCAGAGTCAGAGGTGTCCTTGGGAATCAGGATCATGCCATCCAGGCCCCTGGTTTTGCAGATGAGAAAATTCAGATTCGTAATAGGATCTGGTAACCCCACAGGATGAAGTGTCAGAGCCAGACGCCCAGGTCTCGGGGCTCCCAGACCAGGGCCCCCTCAACTGAGTGTCCGTAGGAGAGGACCCTGCGGAATCTGAGACGGAGCCTAGGACCGGACAGGCAGTGAGTGGCCCCAGCGATGGCCCTGGCAGCAGGGGATGGGACCATGGCCAAGGGTCTCCTCCCAGACCTCACTGCCCTCATCGCAGGAACCACCAGGCTGCAAGAGAAGTGTTGGCCCCAGAGTGGAAGGCAGTGGACCTCCACAAACAGCCCCCTGCCTCTAGCAGGGGTGGGTGATCAGACCCCGGGTTTCTCTGGGACGAAGGTGGCCCGTGGAGTTTCCAAAAGTGAGTCTCTTGTCCCTTTTCCTAGGCCCAAGACAAAGAACCAGGGCGTCCACTCCACAGTGAGATACCCAAGTCAAGACCTTTGCCATCTGATCCTTCACACCCCTCCCACCTTTCTCCTGTCCCAAAAGGGGTCGAAACAACGGGTTTCCTTGCCCTCTGGCCTTTGGGTGGATCCAGCCAATGGGGAGCTGAGACAGAAAAGCAGAGGGGAAGAGGAGAGAGAGGCCCTTTATTCCCTGCATCCCTCCCTGCAAGCAAAGGTCCCATTCCCTCCAGGAATCGCACTCCCCAGCCCTCTCTGTGTCCATCTCCAGTGACCGGTCCCCTCACCCTGCTTGCACCTGGAGCTCTGCCCTACCCCTGTGGCCTCCCTAAACCTGCCCACACCTCCCAAAAGAGTCTCTCCCTCAAACACCCCACACATTATGCTGATCTGAGTGTGTCGCCTGCTTCCTGCCGGAGCCCTGGCTGATACACACCCTGCCCTGCACATCTATTTCCCTGCTCCACAGCCCTCCTATGGTGCGGGGCCAGCTGACCATGCAAAGCACCACTACCTTGCTGCGGCCAGCGTACATCTCCAGGTCATAAATCCCATTCGGATCACTAATGACCCATTCAGTTTCACTGCACACTTCCACTTGACGCAGACCTCCCCTCAAATGAAGCTTTTAGGATTGCATCCAGGTCCCTTTTTTTCATTTAAACTCATAGCTCTTAAACCCAGGAAGAAGCAGTCCTTTCCTGCTGAGATCTAAGTGGCATCGGTGGTGTCCTGGAACCAGCCCGTACCGGTTCGCAAGAGCCAATTATAAAACTTTTTAGGAATTCTGTGAACCAGTTCTTACAATTAAATTTCATAATTCACTTACTATTAAAATTAAATTTTGTAATATTACAATGAGATAAATTACAGATCTTCCTCGACTTACGATGGAGTCACATCCCAGTAAACCCACTGTAAATTGAAAACACTATTAAGTCAAAAATGCATTTAATACATCAAACCTACCAAACATTGTAGCTTAGCCCAGCCCTCCCTGAACGCGGTCAGAACCCTTACATTAGCCTACAGTTGGGCAAAATCATCTAACACAAAGCCTATTTGACAGTAAAGTGTAGACTGTCTCGTGTAATGTATT